GTATTATATATACGTATACATATCTTTATCCCTCATGACTGATGAAGTCATGTCAAATGTTTGTCGAATAAATTCTATCTAAAATGTACAAAAATATAATGAGTCTTTACTTGCGATTTATCATTGCATTAATATTTTTTAGATTTGCTTAGACAGAGTGACTCAAGAAAATTAAAGAATGAATCAATTTATTTTATTGAATAAATCAGGAACAGCAAAACCGAATGCTCTGAAATCTTGCAAATGTTTTAAGGTTATCGTAATCATGGTAAACCGTTAATCAAAATGTCTTCAATTATTCCCTCCAAAAAATGCATGACGTCATTCTCAAAATGTTGTCGAATAAATCCTCTTTAAATAATGCAAAATAGTATCACTCCATACTTGTGATTTATCACTGCATACATATTTTATAGATTTGCTTATGCAGTTGGCTCAAAAAAAAATTAATGAATGAATATTGATTAAATCAAGAACGGCTCACTCCAATACATTGGAAAAAATCGGAAAATAATACTGTTAACATTCGTATTAAACTGCATCAATTCAAGCTGATATACATGTCCTTGCAGAAATATTGATGACGTCATCACATTTTGTAAAGTAAAAGCTCATCTGAAACATACCCGTAGCATGCTTCTTTAACATTACATTTTACGTACGTTTATTTCAACTTAAAGGGGTTCTCATAAAAAAATGAATTCCGTAAAATCAAATTTTATAATGTCTCGAAAATACTGTATCTTTCGCTGTACTTCAGGAGCGAGGGAAGATCTGTCGAAACAACTTTCGACCAATTTTTCTATTATAGGGTGTTCAACACATTTTCAGAATGTCCAGACTGTCTTCACTATTAACAGACTATTGTTTTGAAATTTTTAATATAACTTGTCCAGAAATTTCTCTACATGCCTAACACATTGGCAGGTTTGTTAAGAACATTTTATCGTCATACAGACACTAGCTACCGTAGCTTACAGACACTAACTATGAAACATTACCGACTTTTTTTGTTGGAATTGACTAACAATAAAAACCACTTTTTCGCCAAAAACCGATTTTATTTTATCATTTCCGACGAAAGAAGTCGATAATGTTTCTTGGGTAGTGTCTGAAGTTCTGTAGGCTAAAAACAGTGGCGAAAACCACGTCCCGAAATTTATGTAAATAACAAAATAACTGAGATATTGATTTTTATAAAATGATAAAAAAGAGATGACGATAAATTGTCATAAAAAAAGCTCTTATGTAATATAGCGCAAGTTGGGGACAGAGGTTCTGTTTAATATTAGTAGGCCATACATTTAATGTAATTAATAATAAAATACATATTATAATTAAAATTAAAATTATTTATTTCTAATATATACTATCAGGGTGGACGACGCTTGGACGTCAAAATACGTAATAAATAATAATCAACTCCACTTTTAATTATGTAATAATATAGTTAACCAACAGCTTTGTTTTACAATTTAGATCTGGCTGGTTAACGAAATGACAAACGGTGATCTGATTTATGTTGTGGTGGATATAATTCATAATCAGTTAATTTTAATTAATTAATACAACGATTAGTTAAGTAGTTTTTTTTTAATTCTTAAACATTATTCACTTCCCATATTAACATAACACAAACCCTAATAAGAAGCTACTTAACCATTCTTTAACAATGATTTTGAAGCAATGCAGTAATTAGAAAACAGCTGAAAATGATACCAGGTTGCCTCGTCTTGTATATATGTACTTCTATTTTAAAAACTACAACGCGAACAACCGATAAATCGGGGTTGCAAATGAATCATGGCTACAATTTGCATGTCACTACTTCGTAACAGATTTGACTTGTGAATTATCCTAATTTACCTTCTATGTTTTGGCTAATAATATTAGATATTTGGCTGAGGAGACAACAAAAATGTTCATTTACTCGGCGTGACTACTAGATTACTTTTTGCATCGCACTTTTATCAGTTCCTTTATCAAATGAAGCGGTCTGTCATTTACATGAAACTCAGTAGTTTGGTTTTAGCGATTTAAACAAGCCAAAGTAGTTGTTCTCAGCACGTGCAGTGATGTCTGATATTAAAGAGCGACATGTGACCTATGCACACCCTCTTTAATTCAAATGTTCTAGCCTTTTCGAGTCTTTATATTACCTAACATCCGGGCACGTGTTCAGTGTTCAGAGGTGTACCGCTGTAGAATCGCATTTCCGACATTCACCGGAAACTGAAAAACTCGGTGTGATTACTTGCTAATTATTTCGGGGAGTAAAATATACCACACGGACAGGAAAAAATGATTCACATATGTCTGTCTATCTTTTCTTTCCTACACAATATCAATTTTATGAAAAGGACATAACAAATAAGTGGCAAAGAAATTCGTAATCAAATTATCCTGCAAAAATTCAATCAAAATTAAATTGTCAAACAACGAAACAACAGATCATAATCTAAAACAAACAGACATACACTTATGAATTATTAGATTATTTTTACTTTCCGAGTGTAAGCTAGGAAACCATTGTAATAGGGTCCATCCGGCGAACGGTTAATTTCATGTTTTTCGACGTTTCATGACCCAAGAGTATGAAAAAATTGGTCCGTTGTTTCCGTCCGCTTATCGTCTGTGATCTGCTGGCGATTTTATTAGTCAGAAAATCTCGAAAATTACCGGAATGATTGTGATCAAATTTTATACGTCTTACTTTAGAAATATTGTGTAGATGCTCACCAAAAGTTGTCTGATACCAGCAATGTTTGCATAAACATGTTATTTAAATTTTATAAAGCAACATACTCCTGTACTTGTGGTTTATGACGCCATTATGGTCATAGACATCCACCTTTTTGGGCAATGAAAATCACAGGGCGAGTCGTCACTAAGCGCGCGATCCACCGTCCCTCATTAATTATTATTATTAGTATTTATCAGAGATAGAAAAAAAGTTAAAACTCAAGTTGTACGGTTTTTGATTGCAATCACTAAAACAAATTTCAACTATACAGAGTGTTCTGTTTCTGGAGCGAAACATGTTTTTGTAGTTTTTTTTTAAATAGAGCAGCTCATATGTCGTTAGATATTCTAATTGGGCTTTTCTTTGTGGCTTTATATCCACAGCTTTCTTTTGAAATTACGATGCAACGTTGCTACGTTATTCCGATTTTATCGAAATTTTTAGCAATGCCAAGGTTCACAAATATTTTATCGTGATAGTGTTATTTTTACTTCCCGAGCGTGAGTGAAGGAAGCATTGTCATCGAGTCCATCGGGCGACTTCCTACTTTCATGTTTTCGGTATGCTTCATGGCCCCTAGAGTACGAAAAAAGTGGTCTTCCATTTCCATCTCTCTGTCGTATGGGCCGATTTTTATTAGACAGATAATCTCCGAAACTACTACTACAAAAAAAGTAAATCTTTTTTCCAAAAAAATTGGATTTGTTGTACTGTGCTTCAGAGACAAGGGAAGTTCTGTCTAAATAATATTGGACAAGTTTTTTACATCTGTGTTGCAATAATTTGTAGGTAGATACAACAGAGGTATGCGCTTTGTTGTGGTACCAGTTACATTTTATTTTATTTTACAGAGAGTTTATAAAAAATTCTAAAATATAACAATTTTCAAATATCGAAATTTCAGTTCCTTCAAATAAAATACCTGTATTTTATTATTGCATCTTATTCTTAATTGCAAAAATGTTCTTTAATCCATTCATCAATGCTATTGTTTAATTTCATGTTGCAACAAAAACTGCTGACTGCTGAGTAAATTTTGTCAAAGATGTTTGCGGATTCTGCTCAAGTCGTCTCAAATCATCAACAGCTTCCTTAGAAACTGAAGATCTTCCACGAGATTTGGTTTTGTTGACACTGCCAGTTCGAACAAATCTGTTGATTACATCTCTAATGTGAGCCTCTAACGATGTTTCTTGAATTATTAAATAACGGTATTTGGCCAGATATTCTTTTTTACAAGCGCACACACCCACTCTTCGTTTACGACGTCCCATTGCGATAACAAGACATAACGATGAAAGTGTCTTGTTCAACAGAATAAACCACTTTCACAGTCTTTGCTTCCTAGCACAAAAACAAAATCTTCGTAAGTACGCAACCACCAAGAGTTTTGAAAACGACTGTTTTGTTGTTGAGTTTGAATCAACGAGAATTACTGTCATTCACACTTGAAAAACGTTAAAACAATAAAAACGACGACTTTAAATGGCAGGTTGCAAATGACATTTATGACAAGTGAGAACTGTGATAATGAGGCATAATTTCAGTGAAGCGGTATTTTAGAAATCCATGACCAACTACGCCCTTAGAATCATTTATAAAAACCCTGTAGGAACTGCTGTGAGTTTTCTGATATGTTACCGCTGCATATTCCAAAAAAACTGTTGTACGGTTTAATTAATAACAAAACAGACTGCATTTACGTAACCCATATGGTATTTTTAGTCCCTAGAATAAGTGTTAGAAATAATGTCAAGTTCTGCTGTGATTACTGATTAGATATCAATTGAGTCACCAGTGGCACTTATGTATAATAATTTTAATTCATGTAGTAATCTTTGTGCTATTAATCTAGATTTAAATTTGTTTCAAATAACATTATTCATTGTTTAGAACACTAAGTTAGTTCGATTTTTTCTTTCCTTCTTTTCTTTCATTCTTTATTATAAGTTGAATGTCATTTCGAAGTTTTGCTTTAATACTTGAAACGAAAAACGGCATTTTTTAGAAAATGTAACTTAAAAAAGTTATTTTTTTTATACTTAATAAAATTTTTCAGTTTTATTTACAATATTGTTTCAGAAAATTATTTCATTTTTTAATGATTAGTCATTATGATTTATTTTTGTAGTTCCATACATCCGAAAAAGAGGACGTACAACATCGAAACGTCATTTCGTATATAAAATTTTGTGTAATGAATGTCTGTCCTCTCTATATGCTTTATTATAGTTTACTGAAATTTCCTTTATTTCAGGCTTCGACACTAAGTCAGAATGGCAGCAGAAAGCTCTACACGCCTTCACCCCGAATCTTCGGATCCAAGCAGCACATCTCGAAGCTTGAACTTTTCCATAGCAAAAATAATGGAACCTGATAATAAATCGTTTAGAAAAAATAATAACGAGCAAGATAAAACCAGTAAACTTGTAAATATAACATATCCCACATCGTTCGAATCGGCTTTCAAAAAATATGTTCCCAATATGCTGCGATCTCAAGAACTGTTACAGCAATATCCATTAGTATATTATCATCCTAGTCAGCTGATGCTCAGTTCGGTATCAGTTTATTCTTCGCCAACGGAAAGCAGCGCAATTTCAAACACCCAACCTAGTATACATACAGCACCAATGCAATTTAGTTCGAATAAACCGTGCCCTTCGAATAAACGAAACTCCGAAGTAAAGACTTCCGTAGTAAACACTTCAACCACCGCAAGTAAACAGAAGAGTTTCGAATGTGGAGAATGTGGTAAAGTTTTCAATGCACACTACAATCTGACGCGACACATGCCGGTGCATACCGGAGCAAGGCCGTTCGTGTGCAAAATATGTGGTAAAGGCTTTCGGCAAGCGTCGACATTATGTCGTCATAAAATCATACACACGTCTGAGAAACCCCACAAATGTCATACGTGCGGAAAAGCTTTCAATCGTTCGTCAACTCTGAATACGCATGCACGAATTCATGCCGGTTACAAACCGTTTGTCTGTGAATACTGTGGAAAAGGCTTCCATCAAAAAGGGAACTACAAAAATCACAAGCTTACTCATAGTGGAGAAAAAGCATACAAATGTTCAGTATGTTCGAAAGCTTTTCATCAAATTTACAACTTGACGTTCCACATGCATACGCATAACGATAAGAAACCGTTTACGTGTAGGGTGTGTGGTAAAGGATTTTGCCGCAATTTTGACTTAAAGAAACATATGAGAAAACTGCATGAAAACACATCTTCGTCAGAAGCGGATTTTGTTACCAATACTGCACCAACTGCTGTCTACCCCAATGAGAGGGATTTACATCATTTCATTAGTCCGTTTTTAAGACCACCGGTTCCCGTATACTCAAAATTATTGTGACCTTATTAAGAAAATATATTATAAGAAACGTATTTCTAATTACAGCGATTTTTGATCTCTTTATCGATGTGCAATATATGCAGAAAAGTTGTCATTTTGTGACACTGTACTGCTTTAAGAATGTATAAATTGTGTAATTTAGTACCATCATATATTATAACCAAATAAATGTTATTTAATACTAAATATTGAATTTTGTGTTTTATTTATAATAAGATAAGAGTTGTAACGTTGTGTTTGAAGACCGTCCCCGTTTTGGGTTGCTTATTGGTAGGGTTGAGAATTAAGCATTTATTTTTCGTTATATATATAATTTTAATTTTCTTTTGCTGTGCAAAGTTGTGGCAGGATCGATTGGAGCGATGATTCGGAATTTATGGGGATTATGGGGTGTATTTCAACACACTGTTTCTTGTTTCTGTGTTGTCTCTTTGCTGGTGCTCCGAATGTTGGTGAATCAGAGTTTGTGGCACTTTGAGTCCATTGAGGGATGCGTTCCCTACTTTTTAATATACTTTTCCTATTTTGAAATCCCTCATAATGTTTATTTATCTTATTTTTATTCACATATGCTTTGAACATCGCAAGAAAAGAGCACGAGTTTTGCTACACACAGTGTAAGTTCCCATCCTGTTCGCGGGATTTTTTACCACACCTACTGTGTTAGAAATACGAATACTAAGTGGGACCATGGATCGGATAAATTACTGAATTTCTTGAGTTTGGAAAGCTACTGGGTCTAGAAGAAATTCGGTGAAGTGACTATAGTCGGATTTGCCATCCCAGCTAGCAGTGGTGGCTCGTGATCTTTGGAAATGGGGGGGACACAATTGGATTGACAAGATATAAAACAGGCGGTTATTTCCAATTAATAGACGAAATTGTGTGACGAAAATAAATACAAAAATACATTCAATAAAAGTTAAAAAGGATTTGTCCACATGGCTTTTTGCCTCCGATCAAAATTTTACGTTAATAGCATCTAAAAGTTCATTTTGGGCAGTTTTCGACGTTCCGTTAAAAACGGATGCGTCTTTCAAATGATTTAATAAAGCAGAGCCAGTTCAGCCGTAAAATCAATCAGACCTCGAAATATACCTGGATTGTGTGATTCCCTACTTTCGTCATGTCCACGTAAAGCAAGTTCAAACACCCCACAAAATTTTATGCACATTATCAACCGTCGTAATATATAGCGATTTTTGTCTACCGTTGCGTTATGTACCCGAATATTATTAATATAGGCGGTGTGTAGTTGTTTTCGAATGTCTGTATTACCGAGAAGATTATCGAAGAATATTTATCATATGTGTTTTGTCTATTAAAATATCTATGAAAGTCTCTCGTTTTGCCATGAAAACTTTTTTTTATTAATAAATCTGGGGTGGCTCTCCTAAATTTTTCACTGGAATTTTACCGTCGTGACAGAGAGAACGATTTTTTATTAAATATTCAACTGAATTCATTATTTTTATTTAAAATCAAACAATTTCACTAGCGTAGAATAAAAATTAAACCCGCGATTGAGTTACTGGTGCTGAGCACTGTCGGAACGGGACCGCAGTCCAGCTGAATGAGGCGGCTAGGACGTGTGGTTTGCCTGGCAACGGTGTAAACAAAACGTGTAAATCAGCCGTGATTCGGGCTCTGTCTCCGGCTTTTATCAGCAATAACATATCATATATCCAAGACACAACATCTTTAGATGTAAATGGATGTAAGTTTTGATACATTTTGTACAAGTGGACCGAGATAAAAAAAAATAGTTTTCATAATTACGACACAAATTTCCGGATAATTTTTTAAATATTGAAAATTACTATTTTGCTATGTTCATTGTGTTTGTAGACGTTGTAATTTTGGGGCGGCACGTGCCTTTGTGCCCCCCCCCCCCCTCAGCCGCCCCTGGGAATTTCATATTTCTTTTTAACTAAAACGCCAAATAAGAATGAACAGATTCTAATACAGTCGTCTCCTTCTAAGTTGCAATCCCTTTAAATAGAATTTCTCTCTAAGTCAAATTACTTGGATGGCAATACCACGTGCATGTAAAAATTACTCTGTAACTCGAATGTCCTAAGTCAAACTCTTTGCAACTCGAAATCAAATTTGTGGACGTGCCATATCAGAATCAACGTTAATTACTTTCTCTAAGTTCAACAAAAACATCAGATTATATTATATTAGATATTCTTATATTTAAAGTTCTCGGAAAATCTTTAAAACTTCATTCACAGCAGACAAAACAATATCTGATTCTACTTTTTACACAGAGCAAGAGAGCAAAAAAAATTAATCAAAATTAAAAGGCTTTAAAAAAACGATTTGGAAAAACAAAGACAAAATTTTAGAAGACGAAAACAGTGAATGTGGAGGTAAAACTAAAAGAGTTCGTCGTTGTAAATATGAAAATATCGATGAAGCCCTTTTTACGTGTTCAGCTCCGCAAGAGCACAAAATCGTGTGATTTATCACTGCGTTAATATTTTTTAGATTTGCTTGCGTCATCATAAAATTGTGTAAAGAAAAAACTCAACTCGAAAATGCTGGATATGTTCCATGTACTTCAGGAGCGAGGGAAGTTCTGTAGAAACAACTTTCGACCAATTTTTATTAGTATTACTCCACCCACCTGAGTTGAAATACGTGTTCTTGCAAGAATGATGATTGACCTCATCACAAAATTTTGTAACGTAAAAACTTATTTGTAACATACGCATAGTACGTTTCTTTACACGTACTTTAACATTACATACTTACACATATTTATTTCAACTTAGAGGGATTCTCATAAAAAATATAAAATCCGCAAAATCAAATTTTAAAATTGTTCAAAAATGCTGGATTAGGTTTCAGTGAACTTCAGGAGCGAGGGAAGTTTTATCTACCAATTTTTTTTCTTTTGTCCATTACAGTTTGTTTCTTTTTTAGTTATATGAATATGTATATGCTCATACATACGTACCTACTGTTCTTCAATTTCAAGGAATTTGTGGACAGATAAATAACTTCTGTGAATAATGAAGTATCACAATCACAATACATTAGCTTCCAAAAAAGTATCTAAATTGTGACTGAAATTAATAACTTTTAAAAAATTGGTTTCAGTTGCCCACAGTTAGTGTCGATTTACATTGTAAAAGTAGTCAACCTATGAAGCAAGTCCAGATAGGTACTAAAAATAACCCTTGTAGTCATGTAAAATATTTTATTATGTAAGTCAACAGACAATTGATCAAATCAAATTATAAAAACAATTTTTTTTTAAATCGATACAAAACACAATCCCGTAACTGGGAACGGAAAAATTACACAAGAATTAGACATAATTAGGATAGCACATTTGCGGCGATGGTAACGGCGAGACAAAATTCGAAGGTGTACTGGCCGCATTTAAAAATGGTTGGTAAGTTATAGCAGGACCAGGACTAATAAATTGCCATGGAGTAAAATCCGGGCCGAAAAATATTTGTGGTCTAAACTGTGGAGTAATCGAGGTGATTCTGGAAGTGCAGATCATGTTTGGAGCTCGCGTGTTGGACAATTTCCTAACCCTGGGCTCTGAAAATGGAGTTAGTTGTAAATGGGGACTGTTTTGGTTGTGAGAAGTTTGTGGTCTTGGCTTGGTTTTGTCGAAGTTGCTCTCGACGCTGGTATGTCGTGTTTGTAGAATATCGACTGCAGTCTTTCCTAAGTAATTTTTTTTATGAATGTTGGCCTTAAAATGCAGCAGTTTCTTGATTAACTTTTCTTTTCCCAAAACAGCAGCAAACATTAATGGCGTGATACTTGCAACAGAGAAAACGGGAAACATAAACAGTTGTAACTACTTGTACATAAAAATTTAATTTATTAATCAAAAAACCCTTTTGTCTAATAATAATATTTCTTCTCTTTTTTAGATTTTAATTAGAAGGAAACTACAACATCGATTGCCCTGATATTTAATATTGTCAAGTCAAAATTTTTCTTAGTTATTCCTATTTAAAATGAGCAAAATAATATGCGTGTATATCTATGATTTATTAATCGATCCCAGTATAATAAGTATAAAATGAATGCACTTTAGAATCCCATAAGAGAGTGATATAAATCTATCTGAAAGTTTTACTTTTGTACTTGTATATTAGATTAGTATAGATCGTTAGCGACTAAACACTTTTAAAGTATCTTATTAATCCAAAATAGATGCGTAATAATTGAAATTGGTTCCGTGGCAAAAACTTGTGTACTTTTAAATTTAAAAAAGACCCTAGCAATCCTCCATTTTTTTATAGTTCTTTGTTCCACGGTTAAGAGATAAAAGAATGATTTTAAATACACAGCTGACGAATTTGTTTCAGCAGTTCAATTTCTGATGAATATAAAAACAAGATCACGTATGTTAGTATAGACTTTTCACTTTATTAATAATAATACGATAAATAATGTTTATAAGAGTATTTTTTTAACTTTTTAAGTATATACGAACCGTAATAGAATTATCTGTGCTAACCTACTAAACGCCAAGTAAAAATATAATGTCAGCATACAAAAATAAACGAAGTTTATAACACATACCTGTCAAAGTGGCTGCTGCATTCGGATCATCGGATCAAAAGATTGCCCCAGTAGATATTTAAAGATATGGTTGTGCCCTATGGCCCACACAAAATCGCTAAAGACACTGGCGAAAACAACTTCTGCAAAGACTGCCTTGAAACGCCCCCAGAGAGCAAATGGTTTAAAATTTTTTCCACAATTGCTATATCGCCACATGTCACACTGATTAAAAATACGTTGATACCTAAAATTTGAGACCACCGATGACCACAAGTCAAAACGAGAAACGAACTCTCACCAAATTTATTTTTCTTATAGTGGCATCAGCTCCTTTAAGTAACAATATGTTCACGCCTAAACCGTTTACATTTCTAACAGCCATCATCAGCGGTGTCCATCCTAAATAATTTTCTGGGTCTAGCTTTTGCTTACTTCCAATTATTTTATGAATTTCCTCCAAATTACCTAAAGCCGCAGCATAGTGAAGCGTTGTGTTTTTGTCGTCGTCAATTATTACCACTTTGTTTTTTCTTATAAAATCTTCGTTTGAAGACATCGTCGCAGTAACACGGTCATGTATACAGTAGCACAGTATAACTACCACTGTGTTCTTTGTTTCGATGGAGTGTTGAGAATTTCTTTGATTAATTCTTATCAAATTTTTTGTTAAGCCGTAGTAACCCATAGTGCAATTTACATTGAACGATTTAGTTTGATGTCGTCTACTACCTTCCATATTTTACAATACCACAATCTTTAAAAATATGTCTTGATGGCATAACTAGACCACCACTTCAGCTACTACAATGTATACAATATGTATCAAAGCGAATAAAGGATCATAAACAACTACTCCTAACAAAATAATAAATTTTAAACAGCCAAAATAATTTTTAATAAATTAATTAAAAAAAAAAACACCATGTAGTGCATTTTTATTATTTCAAGCAGTCTAGAATTCATATTCCTATTAATCCTAGTAAGGAGCCGATTTTAGCTAAAAAAAAAAAAATTAAAATGGCCCTTAAAATAGGCGATAAAAACGGAGAAATTAGGCCCAAAAAATGGCAAAATAGGCGCTTTAGGCGATTTTTAGGCGATTCTGATTTTTGTTAAAATTTGCATGACAATTCAGATATTTTTCTAAATTTTCGGGAGAATAATTTTCTGTCATTTCAAATTAGAAATTTCAGTGGGTTTCATTTTTAAATCTTTTTTTACATTTTCGCCTTGTAATACTTTGCTGACAAATTCAAGCTCTTGGTAGGTACGCAGTATGCTTTTGTAAAGTACCGTACAGCTTTTTAAATGGTATTTCACCTGCTCTCCTCAAGTATCTTCCAATTGTTCCAATTCCAATTGCTGTACTATACCCACAGACTGACTTAAGGTCAGCCCAATGGTTTCTAATGGAGTTATACTTGTTTTTAAGATGGTAAAATGGGTTTTTATATAAGCCAAATTTAATTATGTTTGAAATGCTTTTGTTGAGGGTGCCGCCATCTAAAATACATTATGCAGTACTTGCTTTTAATACAAAAATTAAAATGAATTTACCAGATTTTCGAAAAACATGCGTCCTCCTAGAAAACGGGCTTCTCGAATCGCCGAAGCTAAAAAAGTGAAAGCTCCCACAACTATTAAAATTTTGTGTCCTGAGCTTCAGTGAGTTGCATCAAACGACACTCTTTCTGTAAATTACCCCACCACTCCTCTACGTCGTTGTTTTCGTCATCCGATTTTTTAAACATCGGTTTAGAGGTGAGGTTCTCCCATTTTATTGTACTGTTGATGATTCTGGTAAGATTTTTCATATTTTCGGACGTATGGTGATGCAGTAGTGATGTGTTTGTTGTATTGGTTGTATTCGAGTATGCAAAGTCTTTACTTGGTGGGGGCCCTGGGCACAGAGTGAAGCTATGAGTATGATTATAAAGTACTTAAAACGAAAAACTAAAAAGCTGCTTCTAGAATTTGAATTTTACAAAAGTGTTCCACTTTGCCTTTAACGAATCTATTAGAACTCCATCCATCAATTCTAAATGATCGTCCTTATCCTAAAACAAAGTGTTTATTTCCTAAGTAAGAAATAAATGTTGCTCGTACGCCAAAAACAGCAATATTTAGTGCTGATGTTTGCTGATTTAGCCTGTTTCCATGTCTATAATGTCTACTTGTGATAGTGGGTACGTAGTACAGGTAATACTGCCTATTTATAATTTATATAATTAGTTAAAACCTTGTAGACATTTTTGGTATTACTTGTTTGCCAATAAATCTCTCGTTCTAAATTCAAAATATGAAAAAAAAAACAGCAACCCTAGCAAGTTTTCCAACTAGTGTTAAAGCCGTCAGATTCAGTAACTTCCTTGTTGATAATTTTGCAGCAACTTCATAGGCCATATCAAAGGCCTCCTGTAAAGTAGCTTTAAATACTTAATCAAGCAATTTGTTATTGTTGTATTGTATAAAATTACTAATAAGTGTAAAACAGTATTGTTTAGTATTCTGAGCATCAAGATCTACTCCTCTAACATCAACCGAAAATTTCCTTCTTTTTCTGAACATGCGGCAAATGTTAAATGATATTCACCCCAATAAACATATCTAAAAAACGAGAATCCGAACGAGATGATTTTTAATCTTCTGGACACATCAAATTGCCACAGCAACGTTCCTGAATGTAACACCTGAATGAAACACCAGAATCCGAAAGAAACTTTACCATGGAAGGATCCTCGTTAATTATTGCTGTGTGTAAAACATTTTCACCTAAAGAAACTTGATTAATCAACGAAACAAAATATAAATAATTTAATACCATAATATTCATCGGACATGTAAATGTCATTGATGAGTTTTGGGTAACAATGCATAAGTATTTTTTCCGTGGGAACTATTCTAAGCAAAAAAATCATAAAACATTCATAAGATAGGAAAATATGCTAAACATGGATGCAGTATGTATTTTACATAGAATCCGGACTCTAGTTATCAGTATCACACAAAAGATCGCTCAATTAAATTTTATAATTTTTTTTAACAATGATAATTGTATCACTTATTTAATATTCAACCATTACTATTTTCTGCACGCGTCGATGTAATCTCAATATTTCCGACTTCTAGTATTTTATAGTATTATAATAATGTGATTTGGTTCTCTCTTATTAATAATGGCGCCAACATGACTTTATATCGAAAGAGTATAAAAAAATATTTTTACTGAGAAATATTTTTGTGCCTTACGCGTATTCGTGCAGTAGAAGTAATCACAAAAGATACATAAAATGGCATGGACGTCCACACTAAGAATTAAAGAGGATTATCTCGGTAGAGAACGTTTCGAGTATGTAGTAAGATGTTCTAATGCAGTGCACATGTTTTGAAGTGCCGAGACAACCAGGGGTTAATTCAAGACGGATGTTCGCCCCAACAGACACGAAATCTTTACTTAAAGCTATTCAGAGGGTTTTCATCAGCAGGTCACTCTATAAACAAACTAAACAATATTATAGCCATGAATTCTATAAAATATTTGCTTTATGTTTCAAAAGAACCATTGTTGCTGTCTTCGTAAAATCAGCCAACTGAATTGGACGATCCCAAACAAGCATATATAGCTTTAAGCGTAGTTCTTTTGCTTATAGATTAAATACGTGAAGTTTATTTCATATATTAACTTTCACCGACTCAAGCCGCGTTATTGTAACATGTGTTATCAAATTTTCAAAAATTCAGTTAAAAATGTATACTAATTGTTTAAAAATTGTATGCAGATGTATTGATAAAAATATCATGTCGCTCATGATCCACGTATTAAAAAAATGCTGTAAAAAATCTGGATGTGAATTTAATAATAATTATTATTAGATTATTTGTATGTGCACATTTTGTTCAAATGTTATTCCGTCATTTTAAATTACATTCTCAAAATCAGGTTTTACATGCTAAAATTAAAAACCTAAACCATTTTATAATTACTCGTTTTATAGCACAATTTGCACAAAAAACGTTAGATGGATGTTGTATATACGGGGTTCGTTAAGAGTAAGGACTTCTTCGGTGGCCCCCGTGTTGTTAGAACAGGAATTATAGGTACAATACTTTTCGTAATTCTACATCTCAAAAATAAATGCTTTAAGATTATCATAAACTTTGTAAATTCCTAATGAGAACTTTTTTATTCGTTCTTTCCCAAAAGATGTTTAGTGTTAAAATATCTGAAAGGTATTTGATATAGTTAATCAACATATAGAAATACAGTTAGAACCATTACCTGTTTAACCGATGTATGAAGGAAAACAACCCGATAGGTTTGAACATCCTCCTGTCACATTTAATTTGTTTGTCCATCGTTACATTCCACTTGTGCCAGTTTTTGTGAAATACGCAAGGCGGATAAGCCATTTAAAACGATCAGAAAATAACATATTGGAGATAAGCGGGCTATTAGAAAATAAACAAGAGTGAGATGTGAGCGGCATTTGGCAAAGGCCAACAAAGCAACAACACCCGAAGGATGTAATCTGCTTAAGGATATTAGCAGAAAAACTGTTGTAGCTGACCATCCGAGGGGAAGCGAAGCACGTAATCTTGCTAGACTGCATTACGATTGAACATGAGGTTGCACAAGGATGAAGGACACTATTCATGTGGTTCCTTCTTTATTCCCATATTTCGTTTCAACAAATATTTACGCAATCAAAACCAACGACCGAAAGGAACTGGCGGTCACCGCTATGATGCTCTTCCCCAGGGCTTTGCGAATAATACTACTACTACAATGATTCATGTTGACGGTTTGGTTCGCTTAACTGATTTTACACTTACTGCTAATATGCTTATTGTTCCATCGATCGTGGCCGTTTGTTCGAAACCGCATTTTTTTTTCAGTGGTAAACAATAGGAAAACTGTCTTGTCTGAATACATGAGATCATGTATGTAAGAATTGTATATTAATATTAATACTAATCATCTATTTGAAAAACAAACAAGATTAATAGTTACGGTTACTGGACGAACGAGTCTAATTAACCGAGCCAGTACAGTAATGCCTGCAACTCTTTCACTCTTATCTCTTATTAATAATTTTTAGTAGGCGTTAAAGGAATTATTTGTCAAATGAATTTTTTTAATTTGTAAATTACCTAGTAAGCGAGGCCGGAACATTTTGTCGAATTTTCACCGATTTTCGTAAGAAATTAGTTCAACCGAACTCCCAGAGGTTCTCGAAGAGATCCAAAACACTGCGTCAAACCGTCAAAAGTAAGTGAGTTGGAGCCCAAATTACTAAATTTTTAAATCATCGCAAGTTTCTACAGAATGGTTGACACCACTGGAGTTCAAAACACAATTTTTATTGGACTGTCTGATAAAAAGATAGCTTTGGAGTATAGATAGTATCATAATTAAGGTGATTATGATTGAGTTGAACATAAACGTTTATGGAAGTAGCTATCCATTGTTACTAACTATGTTTACTAACACAACATTAGGAAAACCAATAGTGTGCTTCAGTTGTCGAGATTTTCACTTTTACTGCCAAAGACAATAAACCGGAAGCTGAATATACTAATCATATAGTACATATTTAGGTAAATAATCCTAAGAAACATGTAAAATGCGTTTTTACTTCCCGAACGTAAGCTAAGGAAATATTGTAATCAAGTCCATCGGGCGACTGGTTGCTTTCATATTTTCTTGATGGGTCATGACCCCTAGAGTACGAAAAAATGGGTCTCCTGTCTCCGTCTGTCCGTCCGTCTGTCTGTCTGTCTGTCTGTCTGTCTGTCCGCCGTCTAATAATCTCCGAAACTATTGGACCGATAGTTATTAAATTTTATGTTTATTATAAATATCATGTATATCGCAAAAAGTTAACCAAAGTTTGTGTAATCATCCCCACCAATAATGTAATAACATCATCTCAAAATTGTACATAGTAAATGGGTTTTAAATTGTTTAAAATAACATAGTCCTACACGTGTAGTTGATGAATCCTCGTTGAGTTTTTATCCGAAACGTCCAGATTTTTGGAAAAAAAATCAAAATTATATAACAACATTTTTTACTTTAATTTTGAATAAGCATGGTAAATTTTTAATCAAAATATATTTGCTCACTCCCAAAAAAATTGATGACGTCACCTCAAATAACCCAACAAATCCTATGTAAATTATGGAAAATATGTTGAGTCTATAGTTGTAATTTATCATTCCATTCATATTTTTTAGATTTGCTTATACAGGTGACTTAAAAAAAGTAATGAATAAGTCAATTTATTTTATTGATTAAATCAGGGACTACAAAACCGAATGTTTTGAAATTTTGCAGACCCTTTGAAGAGTTACTGTAAGCATTCTGTTCTACAGAATGACTAAGAGTCTTGCAGAATTCATGAATATGATTCTGAATTAAACTAATTTAAATAATGCCTGAAATTTTATGTAAATGCGGGACAAATATTCATACAATTAATCAAAATTAAACACAAAAATAAGTGTTTTACAGTAAGTTGTTGTTGGTTCATTCAACCCCAAAAATTCGAAGAAAATGGAAAATGAAATTTTTTTGATAAAAATATAAAATACGGGATCTAACACTGTTTCTTGAGTGACTACAAAGTTTCCAAACGTTTAAAATTCAATTAAAATTTCATTACATACAGGAAAGCGAAGTAATTTTGCAACATTCGTATTAGCAAGGACACATGTGTGAGGGTCACATCGTACGAAGCTAATAAGGGTAATAAGCCGCCCTCTGTCGCATATTACAAGTGAGTAATATTCACTGGCGGCAATTGTTAAAGGTTAAATCCTCTTTCCTACCGTATCCTGGAGTAAGCTTGGAGCATTCTAGTTGAACTGTGAAAGCTTTGTGTGAAAGTGTCGAACTGTAAATTGCGAACAGTACACCCCCTCTCGTCTTTAACACTCTCCCAAAAAGAAGAATTGTTGCTATTACGTTTGATTGTATGAGAGTTTGCAGGTGTGCACACCTTTAATTGTGCAACTGATAATAATTCATGCGAGACGAGATTTAGCAAATACGAGATTTACAGCCTCTGAATTAACAAAATGTAGAACAGCATCTTCTAATGCAAATCTAAAATCTTTTTTGAATCCGGAACACGTAGTGATAACGTTGTTTCTGTATGACAAAAGTGAGAACTCTCCAATATTAGCTCACGCTGCAGATTTTAAACAAGAACTGTAGAGCCTTGACGCTGATTCAACCCGTTATAGATGAATATTATCCAGGATATTAGATTATATTGAGTGGCACTTAGTGTTGAATGGTCCTCATCTCATTAGATGTTGGCTGGCGAACTAGGTTACACTTTGGCTAGACAAAAAAAATATATATACATATAACTCGCAAATCTGGCGTTCACTAATTTCAAAACTTCTATAGTCGCCAAACTCTTTCCTCTCAAAACGAAATCGTTCAGTTTAAACGAAAATTTAATTAATCTTTTCAGCATCTTAATCAATAAAAGTAGACTCTAGAGCTTTCGTCCTCTTAATGGGTGCAACGCAGGGGACCCTTCTCAGACTCTAATGACATATATTAAAACGTATTGATGGAATTTTCAAAAACCATTTTGTCCCATTTGATGAACGCGATAAAAATAAATCTCTAAAAAGTTTATCCCTATTAAGGGGACAGTAGTGGTGATGCTGATAACGCATGTCAGACATGGTGGCGGATAGCGCTCATATAGATTACCTTTGTTTGGCGTGACAACGCGTCGCCTACAGATTGCCTATGAATGCCAAAGGTGTTGATCCGGATAAAGGGGAGATGTGTAGTTAATAAAGTTCGACCCCTTTCTATTTTCCTCAATACCTTCGAAGTTAAATTCGCCCTTCTCTTTTGTCTTGTAGGTCCGACTCAATATTGATCTTAATAAAAACTACTCGACTACGCAATAAATAAGAAAATGACCACCTTACTGCTGTCGTACATGCATATTGTTCAACTTTTTAAAATTAATGTTAACAAGTAGTTAAAAAATTACAACTTTGTCATTAAGTGTTACTTCATATACTAAATTTTAAATTAGCTTAAGATAAATGGAAAAAAGCATGTTTTTGAGAATTATAAAATTGTTAATATATTACCGAACGTTTCTGTAGTTCTTGCTTTTTGAATACCTGCATTAAAGTTAGTGTCGATTTAGTTACCTACTACACGGTTAACGACAGAAATATGATTTAAATTTTAATTTCTTTTTTTATGAAAATGTTGAAATGCCTATTTATTGATGCAATAATAAGGTAATAACCACTTCATATGTATGTTTTTTGCTTTGTGGGAAATGGGTTGCGCCATCTCTCGATGGCATTTGGCAGACAGGATAGAATTCTCTACTACTGCAGAAGGCAGCTAGCGAAGTGTAAAACATATCAAATAATGTTTGTGTTGTGTAGTGTCATTAAACATTGCAGTGTCTATATATATTGACTGTTCTGTGGTCTATACAGTGTAAGTCGAGCACGTTCCAATAGCAGTAATGCTGATGTTGATAACGCTTATAGTAAGTCGCTAATTTTGTACGTTTTCAGTGTTTGACATGATGTAATTACAAGAGTAATACTCATAAAATTGGTCTGTAAATTTAAGTGTTGATTAAAATTGCTAATTCTGGAGGGTTATTAAAATTAGAAAATATAACAATGTTGGATGTTTATAATAGAAGAATTTCTAAACATTCACGTATAACAGTTCGAAACTGCAGGTAAGACATATTTTATTTTATTGGTGGAGTTCTAAACTAATCAATAAATAGGTACCTAAACACGCGACCGGCAAAAGCCATAAGCACTATTTTCTCCTAACATTCATCATTCTGAGCTTAAAAAAAAGATCGATTCGTGTATTCATCTAATTCAAAGAAAATAAATTTTGATGTCATTTGTTATTAATGTAATATCGTTTAAATAACAGCAATAGAGGGCAAGTATATTTACGAACCCATTGTACTGTCGTTAGTAATAAAAGTTTTATTAAAAATTAAATAGACAGAATGATTTAGTTCCTGCGATCACCCGAGTTCCCCGAGTTCTAATTTGGGTCTTCTAATTCAACACACGCATAATAAATTTAATTAGACACAATGTATCATAAACTAAAAGGCAAATTACTTTTTTCACTTTTGATAATCATAACAATACATAATTGTTTTTTTTTTTCAAAGGTTCTTTTCAACCTTCAGCATTTAGATGTTTTTATCGCCACTACATTAATTGTAAGTAGCGAATGAGTATAAAAGCTATAGTTTTCGTTCGCATATGCACTTTGTGCAATAAAAAAACTTTTGTTGCAGAGGTCGCGATAACGTGAAAATGTAAATACCAAACTGCATATTTTAAATTTTTTCGCAAATGTATGTTAGAACTTTAAGGATTCATTTACATGCGTAACGCACAAAACTACCGGAAATTATGGGATTTATGCCACCAATACTTATTTCCTGAGGAGTTAAGAGGAGGGGAGACAACACCAAACAAGTGGTAGTTAACAAAATGTAGACACTAAATATTTAACAAAAAAAAACTAGTAGCGAATCTTGCCACCTTTTGAGTAATCCAACCGAGATGATCGTTAAAAGTGTCATTGGTGAAAATATCGCAGACACAGACAGTATTTCTTTACGAGAATATAGGTATGCGAAATTTGTTTTCTTTCTGAAATCTAAACCAATTAAAATTCACAAATGGTTCCGTCATGTTATCAGTGCGGGGTGGTGTTTAAAATACTTTATATGTTGAATTTATTAAGAGGATTATGCAACATAAAGTAAACATAAAATATAAGAGTCATAATTTTGACACCAATAATAACTACGAGTGTTTTTTACTTCCGGAGAGGAATTGTATAGTTTAGGAAATATCGTTGTACCTTATAAAATTTTATTGACAGTAACGAGACGGACGGTAGTACAATAGCAAGAGATATTTACAACTTAGAGTTGTCGCGTGGCGGTAATCCCCAGATGTTAGAAAGCAGAATAATTAAGGTCCGGACAGGGACCATCGTTACTCACGAACAAAAATTACCATTATTTTATGAGTACAACTACCTGCTAAATGTTCTCCGACAAATTCGGGTGGATTGGTGTGAGCCATATTTCTTACCATTGTACTACTGTCCGCCTCGTTATTGTCAACAAAATTTTATAGGGTACAACGATATTTCCTAAACTATACAAGTTTACAACGGCGCATAAGTCCTCATATATATATCTGCTTTTAGACACGTAACGCGCAAATAGCGGACGTTCGATTGGGGCTTGGGCTTTTTTTTGTTTCTTGTACTATTCCGGCTATTATTTATATTTTTTGGAGAAAAAAACGAGTGTGGTTAATTAGTTAATTGACCCTCCCTTCTGTGCATACGCATACTTTAATGCCGGCCTTGCGTACTTCAATGCCAGCGCTGATACGATACATTGACAATATAACGTAGTAATGGTCGAATTCTTTCGAAGTATATAGACATTAACTGTGGACGTTAAACAAGTACATACTAGCAATTAAGAATACATTGTTTCTCGTTGGTTACCTGCTTTAAAAATATATTTCATATTGTCCGCACTTGTGCAGACCGCGGCCTCATAGTATTTGCGCCCTCGTGGCACAGGGGCTGAAGGGGTGATATTTACCCCACTGGAGCGAAGGAAGTTCTGTCGAAATAACCTTCGACCGATTTTTTATTCAATCAATTTTAGTTGCAACTTTTTGGTGTAGACGCATTTGTCAGCTAAATATATAGACTGCGTAATAACTAATAACAATTGAAATCGCATATATTCCCATTGGGTTACTGTATTTACGAAAGTAACATCGTATGTCTTCACAATAGTAAAGGCACACAATGTTAATAACCACGTATCAAAAACACGATGTAGTACAACTGCGGTCGCCTTTTCTGTGGTGGCGGATGTACAAGTGGGCGTTTCCTGTAAATTAAGGAAGTTTCTCACTTCCCATAAATAAAAAGCTCCTTCTCAAGTTAATCACTGTCGTGATTTAAAAGTACATCAATCTCATTTTATAATTAATTTAATGCGTAGTAGTTTTTGAATTACCGTGTTTTTAAATCTGCAGATAGTGTTATATTCTAATTTAAACGAACAACGGAAGAGTTTGGTGATAAATAGCATACAATTTTCAATTCAAAAATTCTTTGCATTGACAATAACACATTGAAGGAATTGAAACTTTAGTGACGATATTATTTCATAAATTATTTCAAACAAGAACCTTGAACTGCTGTATTCGCATATTGAAGAGTAGGCATACAGGGTGAGTTACCAGTACGAAATTCTTCTAGTTCTTCAAAACCATATAAGTTATAGAAATAGGACTTGCCGTCTTTTCGACCACCAAACTTTTATTTTGTTTTGTTTTATTTTTATTTATGTGTACATCCAGCTCTGACAGGCAACACGCAAATCGGTTGATTTCGTTACTTACTGACCTCTCCTGTTGTAATTGTAAAAACATGTTGCGTGTCTAATTTTGACAAAGTTTATAAGAAATGTGTTAAAACTAACGAAAAACATTAATGACATAAAACATCGGTTTAAGGGCTTTTAGACAGAATTTCTCTCGCTTTTGAAGTACAGTCAGAGAAATCCAGTTCATGGAAAAATTATAAAATCTGATTTTGCAAATTTTATGTAATTTTTTTATTATAACACCTAGAAGTTAAAATAAAGATGTGTGTAGACTGGTAAAGTACAGATAAGGAAGCATGTTATGCGTACATTTCAAGTTACATTTTCCACAAAAAAAATGTGATGATGACATCATCAACATTTTAATGAGTGCACATATCAGTTTGGATATGTACAGTGTAATACTGATAATAACAGTGCTGTTTTCCAAAATTTTAAGAAAGTGGGATGAACCATTCTAGATTTGATCAATAAAATAAACTGCTTCATTAATTAATTTTTTGGAGTCAGCCCGTATAACATGCATAATCCAATCATAACTTTTTTTTTTGTACTCTTTTCCATTCAAAGCTTGGAAAAGAGGAGAGAAACTTTGTCTCTCTGTTTTCTTTTTAAATTGGTGAATGGTGTTGTAAATTCAAATGCTTTAGTTGAAAAATTGTGCTTTCTAGTTCCCCGGTCAAACATTAGAAACCCTTTATGTTTTTATACTGAAATTTCTAGAACTAATGTACATGTGTTCACGCCCATTACAACTATGTGCAGAATTTATAATAATTATCGGAATAAATTTGATATTTTCAATTGTAGTTTACGCCAGATCAAAAATGCACATCTATAACAGTCTACTAATTTTTAACTATTTAATTATGCATTTCCAACAATCTAATTTAGCCCTAATATACCACCCTAATAATTGGTTTATCTGTAGGGGTGGTCAACCATAATAATAATAATAAATAATAATAATAACCCACAAATATATGCTCATAATATTTTGCACATTTTAGATTGAATTTATCCAATAAAATTTCAAGATGCCATCATCAATTTTTAGGTCAGGGGGGATTAAATGAAAATTTACTACCTATACTAAAATAACTTAAAATGGTATTACACAATTTTGATATATATATATATATATATATTTTTTTTGATTTGGATGTGTAGGATAAAAAATCAAGTATAAACAAGACTCAATCCAGTACTTTCGGAGATTATGTGCTAATAGAATGAGACGACAGACAGACCAAAACGGGGACCTATTTTTTCATACTCTAAAAGCTGGTTTACACTATTCGATTTTCGTATTCGACTTGCAATTCGTCTGTTTACACTTCTCGATTCTGCATTCGACAAGATTCGATATAGCGACGTTCGATCTTTCGTTCGATTTCGCATTCGATATTTCGCAGATAGAACGGTGTCTATTTTCGTTAGATTTTCCTTTCGAGATTTTTGCAGCGCATGCGCAAGTAATGCTCAATCCATCACCGATCAGCTGACGAGACATCATGAATTATTATATCTAGGCATGCTTATTTATTAATGTTTCCACTTGCACAAACGTAATAACCAGAAAAATGCAACAATCTAATAATAAATACATAACCTCAATGCAAGCAGAATGACAGCATTTTGACAGATTTCTGATTTTTGACAGCATCATCGAACTTAAAAATCTAATGCTATGTAATCAGAGACTTTAATTACAGTAATAATCTAATAATTAAAGTCTCTGTATGTAATAAAGACAAAACGATTTTGAATTCGAGATCTCAGTCGATGGTCTCGAATGAAAAAATCGAATCAAAAAGTCGAATACGAAAATCGAATATTGTAAACCAGCTTTAAGAGTTATGAAACGCTGAGAAAACGTGAAATTAGTCATTGGCCGGATGCATCTGGCGAAGTATAAACTTTCGTAACTTGTGCTTGAGAAGTACAAATATCCTGATTGCTAGTCTTCACCTGTGAAGTTCAAGGTGACTACAGAAGCTAAAAGTTGATTGTCATAATGAACCTCAAAAAATTAGAAAAAAAAAGAATTAGGAAAAACATGGGAAAAACTAAAAGATATATGCCATATGTTTACTAATAAATGATTAAAAACTTACGAGATTCAAATTTATCGAAACAGTATCGTTTTATGAAGATATTGTAACGGGTGTCTAATTACAAAACTGGTCAAGAGGCCTGGGTCTCCTGTTTTATTGTATTTTTCTGTATGTCGTAGACAATTGTCATGTCTATGTCAAACTTAGTTTAAAGGTTGTTAATTCCCAATAATCGATGTGACAATTGGATGACACCTTTCAAAATTCATTTCGGACTAGATTTTTAATTAAACACTCTATACATTTAGTTTTATGAGTTTCCTTAGCCAATAAAGTGGAGGCCCACACCAGATTTCAAGTGAACTTAAAATAATAGGAATATCGTAGTCTTTTATTGTCATTTTTTCTGCACGTAAAATTACTGTTCCATATTTATGGTAAATATTTTACAAAGATAGTTTAATCGGCTTTGGTGGTCTTTGAGAAGCTCAAACAGTCATTGTAAAAAACTCTTCAGAAAGAACCGGGTATCAAAGAGAAAAATCATTTTGTCGCAAGATAAAGGACTTGTTCACGGACTTGCTAAAATCACTCAAAACTGGTACCTTATTCATTTAATGTATGTTGATGTCCCCTTTTATTTTAGTTCCAAATCAAAAAAAAATTCTCCCAGATTAGCAATTTTTGACAAAAATGTTGTCGCCAGCGCTTCAAATACATTATTAAAAAAAAAAAAAATGAAGAATCAGTCCTGATGTGCGATAAGATAATATGTTGGAAAGTTTCGTTATGCGTATGAACGCCGCAGTGTCAACATCATTTGCATTAAATAATATAATATTATGCAGAAAATAACACATTTATGTTCTATTGTTTAGTCTGAATCAAGTTGAAGTCGTTCATGCAATCTGATCAATTAACAGTATTAATGCTGACCAATTTTAACAGTGCATTCGATGTTTAGATGTATGGATGATTGCCTTATACCAAGTGACTATTAATATTTGTGTTCATTTTTGTCAAGTTGGCCACATATTTAAAATTTATGATGGCATATCTGTTGTGAAATTTACATAAATTTTGGGGCTCAATGCAGTGCTGCCAACTTCCTCCCATTGGTTTGGTTTGCTACAATCATTAATAGTCGCACGGTATTTAGACAAAGTGAAGATATTTTGATATATGCAAAATTTCGTAATACCTATTACTAAAGCAAAAAATCAATCGACGGAATGGAAAAAATAATAATTTTCATGTTTACCGCCTAGGTCCGCAGATGAATAAAAAAAAGAAAAACAAGGGATTTGAAGAAAAAGTAGAAGATTCTACGATATTGATGAGTGATGGTGATGGTCATCAAAGGAGAAGAGGATGACGAGATTCGTGATTAAATAAAAAAAAGCTGATTTGCCCATTACCTGGTAAAAATCCTTTAATATGGTACTTTCGTTGGTGCAAGTCGTATTTCTATATCTGTATCAATGAACTCCGAAACGAATTTCATACTGTTAACTAATTCTTGATATTTTAATACAGTTACTTTGAGACTAAATAAGACTGTAGTTACGTAATTACCCACTGAAGAACCTACTAAAAGTTGCCTCGTCGCTAGTAGTTATATGACTAAGGCAATGGTGCTTATGGCGATGCCCTATAAAAGCAACATTACTGCATTGTTTGTTTTTAGGTTAAGATAGCTGTAAAATATGAGGCTTTCTATCAAAATGTACCTCATAATATTTATATGCGCATCAGTGATACTATATCAGTACCACTTGTCAAATGCTTGGTTAATTTCACAGACTAGTACCCAAGACTTTAGAGTATTAAACGCCAAAGCTAGTGAAAAGTTAAAAAATGTAACTGCTTTTTTCAATGCTTCTTCCAGTAGTAATACAAATAGTACACAAACGAACAGAACTACCTTCGTGAGTGATGTAGATAAGTAACAACTTAATTTTGCAGCTGCTTAATTCGATTGGTTTCAGTGTTTTCCACCACAAGAAAAAGAAACCAATTTACCACCTCTTTATATCATAACTCCTACATATCGACGCCCGGAACAACTGGCTGAATTAACTAGATTATCGCATACATTAATGCTTGTTAAAAATGTTTATTGGATTGTTGTTGAAGATGCAGTTAGAAAATCAGCGTTAGTTACAGATCTGTTAAAGAAAACTGGATTAAAATACGAACATTTAACAGGTACTTCTAGTCTGAGAGCTAACGACCGATTTACCTTGTGTATTTCAGTAGGTAGTCATAAATACACTTAATAGTCTTATTAGATACTTACAAAATAAGGAATAACCATTTTGGCAACTTTTAACGACTGAAATAAGTAACCCCAAATCATGAACTCCTCGTTCATTGCTCCGCCGATGGGTTTTTTTGCGATGAAATTTTTTTCTGCCATTTAGAATTATTCACTAGCACAATTCTCTTTTAACTTACTTTAAGTTTCAACACTGCTGAAACAACAAAAATATTAAAAATAAAAATTATTATTCAGTTACCGATTTGAAGGGAAGAAAATATTTTGGCCAAATTTTTTCTTGGCAACAAATACTCATCTTAAAATGACAGTCCTGTTACTTTATATAAATGTTAACTTTTTTTTACGTCTTTGTCTGTTAGGGATAGTGTATTTTGTCCGGTATCACTTGCCAGAATAGACATTCCTTATTCAGTATGTATCCGAGACTTCATCCACTGAGTTTCATGACTACTGACTACAAATTACATCAGTCGCTAGTTCTTAATCCATTGCACAAAATCACTCATTATGTGCACGAACAATTTTAATATCTCTTTTTTTGTATTTATATTTTACTCAACCGTTTTAGTTTATACTCCATGTATCAAATAAGAAGATAACAAAAATACTTGGAAATATAATTTTGTAAATAATTTAACCAGTTTTTGGACTAATAAAGGTATAGCATGAAAGCTGTAGAGTTTTAAAGAAGAACGAGGAAAATTATTTTTACTTATTATTAATTATTATTAATAGGTAATGAAAATTGTTATAAGACGACAGGTTATTTGTATTTGATGGTTTACTGACTCCAGATGTCGTAACAATTTCGACACTGTATCTCAAATTATTCGAATGAAACATTTCTAATACTGTTCTTCAAGAACTTAAAATTTTCAGGCTATATCGTTTTTAACCAAAAGAAAAGACGAGGATCTAATTGTGTATTTTCAGAATTGTACTTCTAGTTAATTTTCTGTTTTTTACCCTGTTTATTTCACTTGGTCCTCTGAAATTTTGTTGAAAACGGCCTACACAAAACAGAGAATGCGAGCAAAAATTCTAAAATTCTGTATATGTATCCATAAATATTGTTTCCTCAGATAATAACATTAGATACTTACTGCTTTACATTTCATGTAAACAGCAAAAAACAAAAGTCTCTTCGTTTCTGACGAAACGTAAACTGTTCAATAAAGTTTATATAGTTCATACCATTTTTTCCTCATGGCATATGAAGCACCGTGCATATGGATGAATATTAGAAGATCGACAATACTGATAACAAGATAAGAATTTTGAAATATACTATATATTAATACACGCGATTGACGAAACAAGCAGTCACATTATACCATGTAAACTATGAATGTAAGTAGAAATAGCTTGAAAGCGAAGCGATATCATTTCGGCTCCGTGTTTGCATTATATTCAACATATCATTAAACTTGACGTTTACCACCACAAATCTATATCACGACTTTCTTATGTCATAAGAAAGATGTTTCCTCATACGTGAGTGATAATTTATTTTTCCTTGGAATTTATACGAAAGAATATTTAATAGAACAATATTTATTGCAATAAAATTAAATTGTAAGAACGAAGAGATTGATCAAATTTGATAAAAACTTCTCAAACAAAAATTGCAGTAAAAGCTATCTTCAATTCGACGTGATATACAAAAACAAAGTCAAGAGTCAAAATGGCAGTTCATTTTCATTTTAATGTTAAATAATAATTATTCAAAAGAACAGATAATCATTTTTTTACTCCTTTATAGCTTTATCAATGAAAAATTAACTTTTGAGTTGGCAATTTATTGTTTATACTAAATTTGTCATACGAGCACAACACAATATTAAAATTAATATTGTCTAGTACAATACGGAATTTTGGGCAAAATTATACAGCGTATTTTAGCACTACGTAGTAAGCTGTGGTGTTTGCGACATAATAATTAAAATTAATTTTTTGGGCCACCATTCTCTAAATACTTGTTTCCGAATAGCCGAAATCGTCCGGAAACAAGCTGTTTCCGGCCTGCACCGTAGAAAATGATACTAACAATTCCATTGGTCTCTGTGCAAAGGAAAGTCCTCACTGACTGTAACTCTTATATCAAGAAATATGAGGTTATTAATTTTTTTATAAATATGTAATACATTTACGCGGCCCAAAAAATATGCATTATTCTGCCAGAAACAAGTGCTTTTGCAAATACACGCTTTTCGCGTCCTCGCTAACGCTCGGCCTTCCAAACTCGCTCGTATTTACAAAAGCTTAGATAATTTCTCAGGGCTTGCAATGCGAATTACTATTGCGCCGATATAATAATTTAATAAGATGCTAAATTGAACAGATGTGGTGTGACTTTTGACATTTTTAAAATGGCATCGCATTCTTTTTTTTTTTTTCAAGTAATGCCTGATATATTTTTGAAACAAACAAAATTTTCTGTCTGCACCACTCGAAGTTTCGAAGTGATCTGTAGCACGAATTTTAAAATAACATAAAAATGCATATTCTCCTCCCACGGACATTAAAAAAAATGCTATTTATAGATTTCTGTATATTTGAATAAAACTTATAAAATTCCTCTATTGCTAAGTGATTTTTCATGTGACATACATTTTAGAAATAAATTTTTATTTTTTTTTGATTCACGGTTGCCAATCTGCTACCGTCTTTTTATTGCCAAGTTGATTCTCTTTATTATGCATGTTAACAAGAACTTTCACAGATTGTCAATATCCTTGTCGTTATTACAACTTCCACACTTCTGATTTACTTATATTAATTTCAATTAAAACGTGTAAAAATGACGTCTAGTTGCATAAATGGTGTGTCATTCTAAAATTCTAATTATTATTTATTATAATTCTTACCAGATTATGGTTTTAATTTATTTAAAAGTTTCACTGGTTCCATATTTCAGGTCGTATGCTCAGTTCTATTAATTATTTTGACATACTGTTACTATCATTATTATTTAGCATGTAATATTAGAATATTACCACTTATATCTGAATTTAAAAACCTGGTAGAAAGATGTTAAAATTTAGCACTTGTTGTTTTGACATGAAATGAAGTATATCTGAGCTCGTATTTCAGCACCCATGCCTGATCAGTATAAAAAGAAGAAAAAAGGCCCCAAACCTCGAGGAGTGTCCAATCGAAACAAAGGAATCCAGTGGATCCGTAAAAACGCAAAATCTGGTGTTTTATATTTTGCGGATGACGATAACACCTACGATCTTCAATTATTTGATGAGGTACATAATTACAGACTTGATGTTTTTTTTTTTAACTAGCAGTTAACTTATCGTTTTTAATGGCCCAAACTGTTTCAGATTCGCTACACCAAAAGAGTTTCAATGTTTCCTGTAGGTTTAATAACGAAACTCGGAGTCAGTTCTCCAATCGTAAAAAATGGGATTTTTTCCGGTTTTTATGATGGTTGGATGGCGGGCAGGAAGTTTCCTGTAGATATGGCAGGTTTCGCCATCTCGGTAAAATTTTTATTAAAACGCCCGAAAGCTTTAATGCCCTTTAAACCAGGTTTCGAAGAAGATGGTTTCTTGAAGAGTTTGGAACCATTTGAACCTCAAGACATCGAATTATTAGCTTCAAATTGCACAAAGGTACGAAGTACGAAGCATTACTAATTGGTTTGATGTTTTTCGAGTGTTAGAGTGAAAAAAAAAAAGGTTTTTATTGACAGACTTTTGCTGATTCTTTTGTGTTTAGAAATATGAGAAACCTGTTCACTCATTTAACCTACCTACTTGAATAATGTGTCATCATCATAAAATATGAAACCAACTTTAATATATTTTTTACGTAAATAAAGGGACGCCGTCAGTGTAATCCAGCGTCCGGCGGAGCTTTTGATTGGAAAAGTGCGCAATGTTTGGGGCAAAATTGAACTCAACAGTCACTACCAACATTTTTTATATCTCACTAATGTTAATCTGCTTACGTTAAGCATAAAAGGTATATACTCTCGAATGTTAGAAACCACCACCGTGGGTGGTGCACGGAAATGTCCTATACTGATGAGACCAAGCGAAGTCAAAACTTTCGGTTTCCGACTTAAATATTTTTTAATAAATTTTGAACAAGCTACTAAAAATGACATATCAGATACTAAGTATGCGTTTAAGAAGTTCAAGCTATTATAATTACATCGCCAACAGTATTTATACCGAAAGCTAAACAACCCCCTGGAAAGTTTATATAGACTGAGAATAAAAAAGTTGAATTAATAAAAATATCCAGTACTTTGTGTTTGTTTATAAAGTGTACTGATTTCACGGTTAACTGAGTGATAAGGTTTGTCATCTGCTGTCTACATATATAATCAATAAGCTTTGGTTTGATTTGCACTGTGTTCCGAAAACTGTAAAATGAGATATATTATTTTTTCAGATATTGGTATGGCACACGCAAACGAAGAAAAATGAACCGTCACAAGCGCTAGATTTCGCCAAATATAATAACACTAACTTAGTAATGCTCAAACAAATTCTAGTGTAAACTATTCAGTAACACATGTATTCACCAGTCCACTAAGCGATAGAGATTCCTATTCCCTGACAGTTGTTTTGATTTATACTGGTTCTTGCTCCACGTTTATTTCGTATGATATTTTTGTATTTTTTCCAAATGATATTGTGAAGATTATTAAGAAAGAGGCTGTGGAAGACTTTTTTTAACATCATTCGCTATGTACATTTAAGATATACAATCAAGTAGAACTTTTACGAATTAAAAGATTTAAATTCATATGGAGTTTTTATTGAGTAGGTACACCAACAATACGACAAATCAAAAATTCGACTAAACCTTCTCAGAAGTTCTCTCGTTCCTAAATTCAGTTTTCGTAAAATGTTATTCAACCCGATGATATCTAAGAAATGGAACGATGGTAAAATTCGAATAACATTTGCTATTGTAAATTGACGTCGTCCCATTGTTAGTGGGAATGATCAAACAAGTTTTGGTGGCGTTTTACCATCTACCTACATGGTATGTAACACACAAAATTGATAAAAATCAGTCCAAGATAGTTTCGAAATTGACACCGACAACAGGTACGCAAACAAACAGAAATTAAAAACCATGTTTTCATACCGTAGGGGTTATGAAAGGTAGAGAAAACATGAAAGAAACTGTTGTCGGCTGGATCCAATTACAATACTTCTTTAGCTTACGATCGAGAAGTAAAAACAATTTTAGTCAACCTACACATCGTGATTAGTTTAAAACGAATTTACCATGTGATGAGACAAATCAGATTTCTTACAAAGCTGTAAGCACTAAACTGCTTTTTTTTAATACAAAAGGTCGGGTGTTAACAATGACAACAACAAACTACAATTAACATAGGTAATTTATTGGAATTCTGTATGGAATAATCATCTACATTTCAATAACTGGTAATGAGATGTTTTTCAATTCCTTTATAACATAAGTAAATATCGGTATATTTTCCTAAGCGCTGTACATCAATTTGAGAAATCGTCATCTAGTGTCACTTAAATTTCTGTGGGTATACTATGAGTACAATAAAAAAATCAAATACAAAAATTCATTTGGCAATTTGTAACCTAATATAATAATATTGAACCAATCCGTAGAAGCTTTAGCATTTTGTGACAATTTATATTGCACTGTAAAAAGAAAGTGTGTCGCCTACCTTAATTTCCTAATACTACAGCATTACACCTGAGCTAAATAAATAAACAAATATATACACATTGTATATGTATATATAAGGTAGCGCTCACATACAATACATGCTTTTTTTTCAAATTATAACTTAGATATGTAACTGTAGATGGCAGTGTTTGTATTCTTACTAAATGGCCAAAAATGATCAACTACACTGCACAGATTTGGGAAAAACAATTTACTGTTACTTAACAACAGATATAGTGACGCAGTACAATAAATAAAGGTCCTCATTTTATGTACATTCTATATACACAGACTATTTTTTAATGAATATAAATATATATTTTTCAAAGAAAAAAAAAATGCTCGTGCATGTATCACATAGCAGTAGATCGTTTAGTGCTTTAATTTCCTATATACATTTTAATATCTTCTGGACTCAACTGTTGCTAATAACTATGCTATTAATATCACTGAGTCACCATAACTGTTTTAAACACAAATACATAATTTATATCTTAAATTCCACGAATATCAGTTTCAATATCAATGTTTGTACGTATTTAAAAAAAAATCAACTATACGTGACAACAGATAAACGCAAGATGTCCAACTTTTATTACATTAAACAATTACGTCAACAAAATTTGCCACTGGCATTATAACTTGTATTGTCGATAGATAACTTACCAATATTGGGTAAGTCATAATTAGAATGAAAGTTGAAGACTCACATCTCCCGTTTGCTATAATTAAGTTACGTTGTCTTTACGGGCTGAAAATGACACGATGGAACGAATCCCCTTTACTGAAGTCTAAAAAATAAAATAGTGAAGAACTGCAGCTAGGTTCCGATTGAACAATTACTTTTTTCTTAGACCCATTTAGGAATTCTTTGTACATTTCTGATCGCAAATATCTTGAATAACTATCACTCTTCATAAGATGGTAAACATGAGCCTACAAAATCAGAGACACGTAAATAAAATCACATGATGAAAGCGTGATAGTGGAGTAACAATTTCTGTTTGTGGGCAAGTTGTTTTGGAAATTTAAGTGTACAGCAGACAGTGATTTTAGTTACAAACATTTGTTTTAATTGTCACCTCTCAGATCAAATATAATGATTATCAATGTTTCACGTAACAAATTCCTCCGTTAACGAAAAAAACAATTTAATAGCGATTTCAAAGCCTAGTTGCTTATATCAAAGTGCATATAGACTTTAGTCAGCAACTGTAAAACTTCTCTGTGAAGAATTTTCGAGCGTTTTTCACTATCAGCGACTAACCAACCCATATTCGATCTGAGAGTTGCCTAAATTTCGGGATTAATTGGTTCTTTCATTAAACACTTACTGCTGCACAATCAAAACTCCATCTGTCTTGACTTTCCATATTCTTTTTAGTGATTTCATAAGATTTGCAGTCAACATTTATGGGGCAGCTTGCATCAGGCGCTAAGAATTCCATCCATATTTCCTGTACTTTATTCTGAACTTCACTTTGAGGAAGAGCTTTTAATTCTTGAACAGCCTCCCAAAATCTACAATACAGATAAAACAATAATTCTTATAACGTTATTCAAAAGCAATTAAACATCATGGGTCAAATAGAACTCATTTCGTACTTGAGATTTTCTCCACTAAATTCTTTGTCAAGAAATTTCACAAAGTGTTCTCTGCCAACTGGATCCTGCAATAGTTCCTGTAAACTGAAAGCCCAACGTTTCACCCTGCGGGCCGATATGTCTTTTGCTTGTTTTTCTTGTTCCCACAGTTCTGGATTATCTGATATCCATGGATTTGGATATTCTGGAGCAACGAAAAAGCTATCGTACTCTAAATACTGTTCATAATATGCCACAAACCTAGACAACGATAATGTATTTATTCTATAGTCATACATGAACAAACTTACGACTCAGCAGCTTTGGAGACCTTGATGTTTCTTCTTTCTAATCTAGACTTGAGTAATGCTACTTGCTTTTTGAGGAGATCTACTGAATTTTTACTGTTTATGCCAGATGTAGAAGGTGACATTCTTGGAGCACCAACATGCATATTTTTAAAACCATGGGAAGGTTTATTCATTTGACATGCTTTCTTTATATCAATTTCGGTGGTATTCACGCAACCAGGCTGCAGACAAATTACGTTCAAACAATTCGAATATAATCATACTATTTTCATATTGACTCACTTTGCTCAAAAAGAAACGTTTTATTTACATATATTAAGGTAAATAGAAAAAACGACTTTCGATCGATTGTAGATGAAGAAATGACGGTACTTTATATAGTACAGAAGTCAAAAATTGTTGCCACTAGACTTAACTTACTGTACCACCACCGCTACTACTAGAAACTAGCAAATAGCTGAAGCTACAGACTACCAACACCTTTTACGATTCTCTCAGTTTATATTTTTGCATACCTCTTTGTACCATTGAGTTCTGTGCATCTTCATTCTGCTTCTTCTACTACATCCTAAATATCAGTGACCACTATCGATGAATTTTATCCGAACCTGATAATACTTTCATGCAGCTTACAGTAAGAGATTTCAATGGTGGATACCTCAAGTATCTCTTATTTAACAACACAAAATTTTCTTGAAAACCAATAAATTGCGCAATATTTGTAAGTTCTAGTGAAGAAAAATTTGAAATGTTTACAAAAATGTTTCAACAGCAACAATGCATTGAAGTAAGTTATACACGATAAAAAAATAGATGCAAGAAACATTTGGTAAGGTTTTGAATGATAGAAATAATTTATTCTGGATAAATTTAGATCGATATATTAATAGATGTTGTACAATAAAAAATAACAAGTGCTTCATAAATATTGTTGGATATATTATACATTTTACATTAGAAGTAATTCAAAGAAATCTAAACTAATTGTATACTCAATCATCAACTTGACGCATATTTTCTGTTATTTGACGGGAATTGGCGCTATATTTCGTTCTGAATAATAGTGTCCCTATCATGTAACTATCTTTCCAAAATAATAAATTATTTTTTAAATCAATCATTATTTTATAACGTAACAACGTAAAACTTAATATATACATATATATATGAATGTTTGATATTTGTGTACAATGTGTACTTTGTTTCACCTTCATTTATTATTTCTATAGATTATTATTTTTATAAAACAGTTTTTCCTATTTATTTATTTTTTTCTATTGCACTTGCTATATTGGTAACCTCAATCACCGTCTTTATTACAAATTTATTCTTTTATCTATTGTCTTTAAATTAATGTTTAATGGTACAGTCATACCCATTTTCACCGCAATTTTAATCACCAAATTAATTGAAAATTGATGATTAAAAGTGCGGTGAAATGGGCATTAATAAAATATATAAAGACTTCATTTTCCAGTTGACCAAATCTATCGCACATAGATATTAATTACCGTGGATTTAATTTATTGCGAATAATCTTATGGGCTCCAGTTACTCAATCGTGGAAGATTGTTCGTTCACTATAACTTATTGAGAAAATTCTATCAAAACTCGCTCAGATGCGTAACTTTAAAACACTTTCCACTACCTTCAAATTTTCCGTATGCATCTCAGGGTGCATTTTTCCATACAGATTTATAAAATCTTAACCTTTGAGCAGAGATAAAGATGTTTGGTCATCAATTTTTTTGATAAATCTTGTTACTCGATTCCTAGAATTTTCGGAAAATCGGAGAAGTTGTTTTTAGGGCAACAGTTAGAAAATAGAAAACATTTTTTTATAAATACCGTTTTCGGTGCCACGAGGGTGTGTATCGCCTATGATACCTTCAAAATAAACACATTACTGCAATTGAGATGACAACCCCTCTTAAGAAAAACTTTTTAATAAAGATTTATTTGACAATATTCTGTTATAATGTTTTGAAAGTTAGAACCAAATAGATTTTAGTTAGTATGTTATCATGATACTTTCCAAAAATCTGCCATGTAACCTCCGAGATAAATTTTATCTGTAACCACGCCGTCGTTTCAAATAATTAAACAATTTTATATACACTCTGAGATGCGATATTGCTTTGAAATTGAGAAAAGTTCGAATAATCACAATTGTGGCATCTGTATCAGGCAATTACGTAAAAAAATATTTTTTGACTTGTGTAACTATTTTTGTACCGTCCGTCTCAATTACACACGATTTTTTTTAATACTTTCTCAACAAAAGAAAAGGCCACATTGTAATAACCATAGAATTAAATTTATATTTAATACTTAATTTAGGAAGGTTTATTTCCCTTTTTTAATTTTCTAGAAATGATATGCGAACGCACTGACAAAATTATTAATTTCAAAGATACGGAAACGTTTTAGACTTTGAGTGTTACTATGAAACATAAGTCTTAAATTATTACACAAAAAATAAAATACTTCAGAGTATTACTTTCCTACATGCAAAAAACCAAAGTATTAGAGTTTATAGTTTTTTTTTTTAATAAATCTGCTTTCTGCGAATAATGCTGCTAAACAAGTCTCCATATTTTATTCAATGTGAGACATTGTCTATCATTCCCACAACTAGGTAAGTGAGAAAATTTTAGCTGAACACGGAACAGCCAAGTTGCTAAAATAAGAAAAAAAATTTAATCAAAAAGTTTATGTTATGAATCAGTGAAATCAGAATTGCAACTGTTGTTTTTTATCTACAAGTTACATAAAAAGAATTATAACAGCATTTTTAAAAAGTACGACGTACATGATTTCGGCATTTTTATGTACATAATAAACGAACATAATAAATGGAAAGTTATAAAAATTGCACGGTTCATTTTGGATTAGATTATTTGAGTCAACCAAGTTTCATTGAAAGTGGCCATCTCAAAAATTTGATTGATATATTTTAAGAAAGGGAAAAACATGTACCATAGGTCGATGGACGTCCCAGAAAGCCCTCTCCTGACTATCCAACACTTTCCTCTCCAACTTGTCTCTTTTCTTATCAACTTTGCTCTGTGCCTCAGCCTGCATAAAAATAAACTCCCACTTCCTTGAAAACATTTTCTGTAAGCGGGCCAAATTTTCCGCTTCGTAATCGGAAAGCTCTAATCGTGTCTTATTTTGCATGGTTCTTTTGCACAGGTAGACAGCTTCAAAATATCCAGTTAAAATCGTTTTCAAAGATGATGTACAGAAATACCATAATCAGTATTCTCTGGTTCCCAGAAATTTGATGGCCAAAAGTATGGTGTCTGAAATCTGTAGAAGGTATTATCATTTTTGACAGTTAGCATGTGGTCATCTATGGGAAAAAAGTAACCATGGGCAGCCATGAGGTGTGCTAGATGTAACGCTTCCTGTTGGTCTTCCACATCAAGATTTTTTAACATCCACATTATCAAATCTGAACCAGTGAAAACAGAGGGAATTTTTGACATGAAGCTCTTCACAGTGCGCACTGGAACTCCTGTGGTCTCATCTTGCATTTTCTCGACGATCTTTTCCATCTGAAATTAAAAAATGAGCGTTTCAGGTTGCGATAATTTTTAGTAATTTACCTTTTTGTATAGGAGGTTGTTAGGGGACTCTTCTGCAATCGAAGGGGTTTGTGTCTGTATTACATCTTCATTTGTACTGGTTCCGGTGCAGCCCCCATTATTAGGCTCCGGCTTGCGCTTGGTGGCAGCCTTGTCGGAATTCATGGTGACCATATCAATGGTTTAGGAGGAACACCGTCCTCCCTTTTCTACGCCAACACCACTCACCTTAATTAATTGACATGACTAACAACAACTCCACGCTCATTAAAAATGTAATAATGAATTCAGTTTCATTGAAAACATCTTAAATCGTATTCACGGTGATGAATTTGCATGAGTATTTTATTATTTAACTTACTCCATTGAAATTTCTAACCGAAAGTGTCGCATAGGATATCCTGCTTTCTTCATGTCATTTTTTAATGAGAAATGTGTCACCACTAGACTTTTTAACTTGGTATCACATGTAACAACATTTTTTGTTAGTTTTCTTACACAAAATTGCCTAATTTCAATGAACTAATACAAAAATACTACTTATTTATTTCCTGCGCTCGGATACCATCACTGCAACCATCGATATTTTCTTTTCTCTGCGACTTCGTTGTTAACGACTTCGCCCGAAATTTAAAATATCCCGCCAAATTAAAAAAAAATACCTTCTTATCATAAATAAATAGGCTATAATTTACAGTGACAGAAAAAAATGCCCAGAAGTCTTTTCTTCTATATTTAAAGAATAAATTTTAAAACGAAAAAGCCTACAAGAACGGCATATGAACAAAACAAAATAATATTTACAACGAATTCAAGTTATCGCAGCAAATGCAAACTTTTATTCAAGTGTCGGTTTTACGTTTGTGTTTATTTCTTAATCACTTTAGAACTTTGAATTAAATTATTGAATAAATTTCATTGGCGCCATCTGTGGGGTGCCTTTCTGGGTGTTGCAGTTTCATTCATAAAACACGGACCCGCGCGCCTTCAGCATAGGTTCAGCAGTTTAGCAGTTGCGCTTGCGCTGTTACAATAATAAGGTGATGACAGAGCGTTTACGGCTTTTGTAGAAAATGGGTGACACTAAAGAAGAAGTTCCCAAAAAAGAAGAAAAACAAACAGAAGAAGAAAAAAACGAATTGGTAAGAAGTCTGTTTATGATTAATTATCGTTTGTACTAAAAATTTATAGTAAATTGTTGGAAAATTTGTTAAAATCTTGAATATTGTCATATGTGAAAAAGTAAGGTTATGTTCAGAATGATTTAGGCATTTTTGAATTGCAAATAAAAGTGGATAGTGAAAACATATTAATGACAAATTGGAAACTTAAAACACACTATTTTTGATTTTAATGGTTACATGAATCTCCAATTATTGTGCACAAATAATGGAAATTCATGCGAATTAACAATAGGCTGGATAGGTACTTATTTTTGGGAACATCTAAAAATTATTTTGCCGTATTTTGAGTCAGAAACAGTTGTGTTTTGTCAAAAAATTTATGTTATAGTTTATTTTACTTTGAATACTTTATATTTGAGAGACAACCAGACAAGATTATGCAAGAAAGACCTGTCAAATACTTTTTGTGGTAGTATTTACATTTTGACGTACAATTCAAAATCAAAGATGCCTTGAAGTTCTGTCCAAAAACTAATACCGTGTAATTTTTTTTTAATTTCTGCTCTAGTTGCCCATGAGTCGTATGTCAGCAGTAAAATTCAAACGGCTGACGGTAGCGTCATGGCCAACTAGATCGAAAATTTAAAATATCACCCGATATAATGTAAGAACATTGTTTTTACGAGGTGTATTTTTTTATAGTCTGAAGAAGACAAGCAGTTACAGGAGGAATTAAACTTGTGCGTGGAGACGTTACAGGTAAATATGTTTTATACGTATTTTTATTTTTCTCTAGAAACGGACATTTATAAAAATGTTATTTTCACTGCAAAAGTTTGCTTTACCGTTCGCAAACAATTTTAATGCAGCAATTGCTTCAAAATATAATAAACCACCAAAAAGATGACAACATCTTAAAAAATATATTGAAATATTTATACAAAATAATCTCCCCCAGATGTGATAGTGCTTACACTTTAGTAATAAACCTATGATGTAAAAGTAAAAATATTTTGCAAACTTTTCTGGTTGTACATTATGATTCGCAATCAAAAAAACATGTCCAAAAGTTGGTACTTTACGTTCAATTATGTTGCTGTGTGTCAAACTAAACTTTCTGATTCTATTAAATGTACAAAGTTCAATGTTTTTATTTTTCTTTAACCATGTCCAAACTGTTTTTATGCTAATTTTAAATTTTGGTGGAAGTGACCGACTTTTTCCAAATTTTGTTCCCTGAAAAACGAGTATGTTAAAAAATGTAATTGCTCTGCATGAATAAAAAAAGGAGCTTTATTTACTTGCGACTATTACTTTTATTTTAAATTAAGAAATTTCATGACTGAAAAACGAAATACATACATAAACTTGGAGAAGGATACTATAGTGTTCTTAAAAATTCAGCATTAAACAAATAATGAAATACACTAGTTGAACAGAACATGTATTTTTAAAATATAAATTAGATATATTTGGACTAGATACATCTATAAAATTTGACAGAATAATTGATATACTTTAAGATAGATATTTAGATGTCTACGGCGTTACCAGACTATTATTACTCCTAAGTGGAAAATGTATTGCAAATACTGATGCGAATCGTTTTAAAATATAAATTTGATTTAAAAATTAAAAGAATAATTAAATTTATTAATATTGAACTTAATAAAAACTACAGGCAGTAGTTGTTATTTCAGTCCATTTCACAATGACGTGTACAGGTATTTTTACAATGACCAAATTAATTTATGTCACAGACTTTTGTGCCGTTAGATTAAAAGTTGCCGACGTATTCATGATAACGTAGGATCGGTATTTGACATGTTCGAATAGTGGAAAGTCAAACCTGTCAGATGCTCTTTTACAATAATAACTTTAAGAGTTACTTTATGCGCATTTCCGTGTGCAATCTTTGAAACAAATGAGGAGGGAAAAATGACATTGATAATTTTTCATAATACATGTATATTCTTCTGTTCTACCAGACTATTAGGATTTTCCAAGAACCGTAATATTTATTATACGGAGTTGTTCCTTTTGTCTTTCCTAATAGCTGTAATATTGAAAACCATAAAAGGTGCAAGATTCCTTTGTTGTATTGTTTTAACTTTTTTCCTGGAAATAAAAATCTCCACACCCAAGGTTTATGAAATTATCAAATATATATATATATATACTAACATATTTATCTTTTTGGGTATTGAGGCAAATGAGAGTGTATCGCAGTTTCTGTTAAAAAGAAAGTTTGACATTTTGACAGAGTTTGACGTCCAACAAAGCACTTCATTTTATTATTGATTCATAAAGCTGCACTTTTTAAAAATAAATTTGACAAAAAATGACGCCAATGTCAATCAAAAATCGTTTGATATCGACACGAGCAAAATTTAAACTTCTAACCGTATAATTGTTGAATACGTATTAAATCACCTAAAATCAAGTATTTTGCATGTTCAAATCGTACATTTTTTTCCAGGAAAGCGATGAAAACTTGTATCTACCTGCATTACAAGCTCTGGGGAATCATATTCGGGCTTCGACAACTTCGATGACTTCGGTTCCGAAACCTTTAAAATTTATGAAGCCCCACTACTCTACAATGAAGGGCGTATATGAAAAAATTCGAGACTCTGCTGTTAAAATTGTTTGCTCTGACATTATCTCTGTGTTAGCAATGACAATGGGAGAAGGACGAGAATGTTTAAAATATCGTCTTACGTCGAAATTGGACGGAATCGGCGACTGGGGACACGAATATGTCCGCCATTTAGCTGGAGAAATAGCGGCAGAGTGGGCCGAAACGGACGTCTCTGAAGATAAAGAGGTTAAAGATGTTTTGATCGAATTAGCGAAACAGATAGTTCCATACAATATGTCGCATAATGCTGAAGCTGAGGCGTGCGATTTGTTAATGGAGATCGAGAGGTTGGATTTGCTGGAAGTCTACGTTGATGAGAATACTTATCCCAGAGTTTGTTTGTACTTGATCAGTTGCGTTCCGTACGTTGCAGATCCAGAAAACACTACTCTTTTGCAAACTGCGTTATTACTTTTCCGGAACTATGAACAGTATCCCCAAGCGTTGCGACTTGCAATGCAGTTGAATGACCATAATTTAATTGAAGAGATTTTTACCTCTTGCCCAGATTCGACTGTGCAAAAGCAACTAGCGTTTATGCTAGGACGCCAGCAAATTTATATTGAAATTCCGGAGACTACTCCCGAGTATGAAGATCTAGTCGAAATAATGGCGAACTGTCATCTAAATAACCATTTCCTCAATCTTGCTAGAGAATTAGATATTATGGAACCAAAAACTCCCGAAGATGTATATAAATCGCACTTGGAAAATACTAGACCCCAATTTGGTTCCAACCAAGTTGATTCGGCTAGACAAAATTTAGCCGCCAGTTTTGTCAACGGGTTCGTTAATGCCGCTTTTGGACAAGACAAACTTTTGATGGAGGACGGAAATAAGTGGTTGTATAAAAATAAAGAACATGGGATGTTGAGCGCCACTGCCTCTTTAGGCTTAGTTTTACTATGGGATGTTGACGGTGGCCTTACTCCCATAGATAAATATCTCTATTCTTCAGAGGATCACATAAAATCTGGTGCCCTATTAGCCTGTGGTATTGTAAATTGCGGCGTCCGCAATGAATGCGATCCCGCTTTAGCTCTTTTATCTGACTATGTGTTGCATAACACCAACACGATGAGAATCGGAGCTATAGTAGGTCTTGGATTGGCCTACGTCGGTTCAAATCGAGAAGCAGTCTTAAGTTTGTTAACGCCAGTTTTTTCCGACTCAAAATCAAACATGGAGGTAATTGGAATGGCCGCTCTAGCATGCGGTATGATCGCTGTCGGTTCTGGAAATTCCCAGATCACTACCGCAATAATGCAAACTCTTATGGAAAAATCGGAAGCCGATTTGAAAGATACTTACGCAAGATTTTTGCCACTAGGCTTAGGTTTATGCCACTTGGGTAAACAAGAAGGCATCGAAACTATAATTGCCGCTTTAGAGGTTATACCAGAACCCTTTAAATCGATGGCGGTAACTATGGTAGACATCTGTGCGTATGCGGGCACGGGCAATGTTCTCAAAGTACAACATTTACTCCACATTTGTTCAGAACACTACGAATCTTCTGATAAGGAAGAAAGTAGAAGCGACAAAAACAAAGAAAAGGGTAAAGATAAGGAAGAAAAAGATAAAGACCTTTCTGCGAGACAAGCTGTGGCTGTTTTGGGAATTGCTTTGATTAGTATGGGTGAAGATATAGGAAGCGATATGGCTTTCCGTACTTTTGGTCATCTGTTACGTTATTGCGAACCTGTTATCCGAAGAGCTGTCCCATTAGCACTCGGTTTAATATCTGTTTCCAACCCCAAACTCAGCATTTTGGACACCTTGAGTAAATTTTCACATGACAGTGATTCTGAAGTTGCTCACAATGCTATTTTTGCGATGGGTCTTGTTGGGGCTGGCACCAACAATGCACGATTAGCAGCAATGTTAAGGCAGTTGGCACAGTTTCACGCTAAAGATCCGAATAATTTATTCATGGTTAGAATTGCCCAAGGATTAACGCACTTAGGGAAGGGAACTCTCACTCTTAGTCCGTATCATAGCGATAGACAACTAATGAGCCCAGTAGCCGTAGCAGGTCTAATGGCCACCTTAGTAGGATTTTTGGATGTAAAGAACAGTAAGTGTATATGTAAAACAGCCTATAAAAATTCTTAATAATGAATTATTTTTTAGTAATCTTAGGAAAATCGCATTATTTACTGTATACGCTCGCTGCTGCAATGCAGCCTAGAATGTTGGTCACATTTGATGAAGATCTCAATCCACTTCCAGTTCCTGTTAGAGTTGGTCTTGTGAGTTTTTTTTATTTTCCAAATGTGTCTTTTTCCTTATTTTATGTTTTCCAGGCTGTTGATGTTGTCGGACAAGCTGGAAAACCAAAAACTATAACAGGCTTTCAGACTCACACAACCCCCGTTTTGTTAGCATTTGGGGAAAGGGCCGAATTAGCGACAGAAGAATATATTGCACTTACCCCCATAATGGAAGGATTTGTCATCCTTAGGAAAAACCCCGACTTTTACCCATATTAAAATTTACCTGTATTTATACTATAAAATAGTATTGTATTTTTTCTTTTTGTATCCACTTTATTTAGAGTAAACTAATTATAAAACATCTGAAATTTTATTGGTATCTTTAGTAAGTCATTGATTTGATGAAAAAACTGTGTAACTATTCATACATATATATAAAATGTATATCTTTGCCACAGAAAAATACATGTTATCTCCATGTTCTAAAGTGTGAACAAAGATTTTACCAATTTATAACTAACTCGGTCTTACACATGTGACCAAAGTTGTAATTGTAAATTTAAATAATGGCGCTATAATTACTCTTTTTCATCAACGAATGTCTTAAAATTATGTAAGATATTTAAGAAATGATTTGCCTACTTAAGCGCTCTGTTATATGTAATGCATGGACTTATTAAGGCCTGTTTTTCTTTTTTCTACCTACCGCTGAGTATCGAGACATGAGAGATGAGAGGTTATCTTATCACAAGCATTCAGAGCTACATAACGACTGATGTTATGAGTTGATACGTTTTTTATTGAGATAAAAGATCAGTAGTTTCCACTTTTCTTTTAAATTTGCAAATACTTCTCATTACAATTATACGTATTTACAACTTATACAAATCGCGTCTAGTAACCGAGTTAGTGTGACATAAATCAGGTGATGATCCCAAAATCATCAAAAAAAGCTTATTTTATTAAGCTGTTAGTTGGTTCTGCTCTAGCTATTCATTTGAGTATATTTGTAATTAAGCCTTGGGTAACGTCTCAGAAGAGTAAAGATTCTAGCGACCATCGTGGAGATCTAAAAACGAAACCATAACACGTAACTATTTTTGACATAACCTCAATTGGTGCTAGTGATGTGCTATTGTTATATATCATAGTATGAAAATTAGAAAACCGAAAAACTTAACGGGTGCTCAGTTAGGTTTTGCTACAATTTTAGGAGTTTTAGTTGGTATTTACGTTTGGAGACCATCAATTATCGACTACCACGAAGAGAAAAAATCAGGTGAATTCGCTCAGAAATAAGAACCGTAAGTGATATAATATTGTTGCGAAAAGGAAGTAATAATTCTCTTTTAAGACGATGGGATGGTATCAGCGGTGGGCATCAAAACAGAGGGGAAAATCTTCTCTTCTAGTTATTGCAGGCGTTAGCGGCTTGGTGTGTTTCTGGATTGGATACAGGCACTACTTTATACCTTGGCGCACAAGAAAAGCATTACGCCAAGCTGAAGAATATGCCAACATTTTAAATAAGCTTGAACGATAATTGTATTGTTTTTCTAATTATGTTAGTTTGCTTGTAAATAAAAACAAGTATCAACTTTTTTTTTTAATTAAACATTACTATACACATTTTATTTATACATGACATTATTCTTCTTTAAATTTTCCGTTGTAATATGGCAAGTATTGTAAAATCAGTTTCCAATCAGTGGCATACGTTACCGCAACCCCCGCAGTTGTACCAAAAACTATGGCAGAACCTAACCTAAAACAAATTATTGCATAATCACTTCGTTATATTATAATTAATTTACCATTGTTGGGCAATTTCTACGTGTTTTTTTCCAAATAGTCGTAGGGGACCTGGCAATCTCACTGCTGGAGACATTTTATCAGTTTTTAGAGAGATATTGATCTTTTCGTTTCGTTTAAGTCCTACGAACCACACAACCAGGGATACGCAACTACGAACCTACAATCGCCTACAATCTTATGCCTACAAATCAGGGACCTACAAATATTCTCCAATCTGTCAGTCTGTCACAACACCATACTCAGTGTTGCCACTACGCCACTGTTGCCAGGTTACCTTAACTCGTCAATTTTCGGTAGATATCGTAAAAATTCGGTAGATTTAAATTTTGTTTTAGAAAGAAAACTAGAACAGTACCTAGTAAAATTTTATTGGTATTTCAAAGTTAACCATGGAGCTTGGACTGTAGTCTGCGGTTGGACCCACAACACAAAACCACAAATCACAAATTGAATGCAACCCTAGATGTTTCTATCCAACTATAGGTACACTGGCGGCACGGTTCTTTTATTGGCGTCATTATCCCCCTGCATTGTCCGAGAATCCCTCAAAGCAGCAGTTGTAAAATTTTACTAGGTACTGTTGTAGTGTTCGTTTTTATACCTCCATGAGTAAATCGCTTTTGATTTAATTAATAAAATTTCTTTGCTTCTTTAATTTTTTTTGAGACACCTATGATTACTGTAACCAATGATTAATCGTTGCTGTTACATTATGTATATTGAAATGAATATATTTATTCCTATCAAAAATTGAATCAGTATCTAAAATTAGGTACTAAAAATAGGCATTACTTTTCTATTAAAAAAAAAAACACTGTAATTTCAAATCAGAAATAATGTCCGGCCATGGCCGACTAGTATAAAGATTATGGCCTGTCCAAGAGCACAGTAGACCAAGAGGTACCATATGTGTTGCCATCTATTAATAATTACACTTAATAATTTAGCAAAATTTTAATTTGATTTGACATTATGAGACTTCAAAACGTGTAATGGTCGTTTGTTTCGGCAGTGATGAATTTCGGTATGAATGCTTTTGTGCCTTTCAAAAAGTGTTAATAATTCTTTCGTCGTTTTTGAATTATTAATAGATGGCAACACGTATGGTACCTTTGGACAGACCATAATCTTTATACTAGTCGGCCATGGTCCGGCATGGATTTTGAATTTTCCAATCAGACAGATTACAGATTGTAATCGCATTACATGCTTTGGATCCCGATATGGATTTTGGTTTCGTTCATATTTAAATTTGCCGCCACACCATCGTAATAACTTGTCTATCTATGTATATACCACCCAGTTACTTTAATCAAGAGTTCTCTTTTTTTCTTTGTTAAATTTGTGATATTCAAATAAATATTTGTATCAATTTGTAATATTTGATTTCATTTTGGAGACGGTTTTTACAGCTGGTTTCAAAATTTTTCATCTCCAGAATGAAGGAATAAACAATTTGCCTTCCATATTATATTGCGGAATATTTGGATCACGACAACATTTTTTGTAATTAAATTACACAATGATTAATGAAATTGCGCTCAATAAAAGGAGTTATGCACCCAACAATACTGCTTGTAGCGTTGAGCATAAAATAATTTGAGTTTTGGGTTGTTGGTATGGCAGAGATATGTGTTGTTGGTGGCTGTTGGTATTTAGAGAGTAAGCAAATGCTATTACTACGTCATACTACAGCGGTGACGCTTATGACATTTCCTATGTTTGTGTTTGCGGCTTGCGGTTCGTGCCTATCCTCAATCCTCTGCATAGAGAAAAAAAGAATCTTCCTTCTTTCACTTCTTAAATACTGATAAGTAGTGAGGATGAGAACAGTCTTCAATGAAAACAAGATTTTACACGTTACATCGTTACGTAGTGACTGTTCCCGTTATCAACCCAAATAATCTGTAAATGTGTAAAACTAATCCGTCAGTCGTTATCAACTGAAAATAGAGGTTACTCATAAGGTGAATTCTTGACGTCCGGATTGTGGTCCGAATATCTTATTGATAAAGGTTGTGAGCGCGAGTGATCTAGTTCAACGAATTAGCGATTTTATTGAAAATAACGGAATATACGATACACAGGTTAACATTGACAGTTTTATAACTGCGTAATGATATGAAATCACACGGTTTTGTCAATTAATTAATGAGTCAGTTTCTCCTTAGACATTCCGTCACGTTAGTGTGTTCGTGTCATAATTACAATAATGTGGATGCCCACACACGTACAAGTAACAGGTATGCCAAAAACAAAGAGTTTTGAACATATTTTTTTATTCTATTTTTAGTCCAAAGAGCCTCAGGATTATTAACTAAAGGAAAACACAACAAAAATGATTGTTTTGTTACGATTGCCTTGGGAAAAACTAAATACCAAACATCAGTCAAGGAAAAAGCAGACCCTGATGTTGAATGGCATGAAGAATGCGAATTGTGAGTTATTGAAGCGTCAAGGAATTTACATTTATTCTGGAGAATTTTAGACCCATTCCAGACCAAGGAAATACAGCCGAGATTATTTTAACAGTGTTACATCATAATAGCTTTGGAGTAGATGAATTTCTTGGGAGAGTTGCCATACCTTTGAATACCTTAGATATTTATGAACGCCCTAAAAATAAATGGTATGGACTTGAGGCTAAGCCAGGTATGTAAAATGTAGTACACAATATATTCGAAAATATATAAATGTTGGAAAGTGATTTTTGACGATATTTCAGTTAATTTAATTTTGTGTCAGTGGTTATATTACAGTTTTCACAAAAAAAGTTGGATCTTATATTACTTAATGAACTTTCACTATCATTTATATTATATATATTTACAGTGCATTTTTACATTTTGTATTAAGTCATGATTGAAGATTATGATCGTGGGCTGTAGGCAAAAAATCTGAGTAATCAAAAAATATTTTTATGCAGCACACGCTGCTGCTCTAGTTCTTAGTATTCCGTACCTTCAAATGGTTCTTAAATATTTCTGTATGTTTCTAGTTAAAGTCAAAGTTACTTATCTTTGATAAATATCATAAATTAAAAACTCAAGTTTAAACAAATTGGACTGACTATACATAATGTTGCTAATGTCAAGTAATGCTTCTTTAAAAGCAAGTATCCAAATATTACTCCTTCATGAGATTGTTGGTTTCCTGAAAATAATTCCACACAGACTTTATACACCGGCCACCCTGAAATATTTCGCAAAACCACATTAAAAATTGTTAATTTAACTTGTGATTGTTATTTTATTAAAGAACCTAACACTGTTGATACAGGATGTACAAATTAGATAAAAAAGAGACAAATACAGAATTAATTTTTTTAAGAAAGGAACAGAAGTGAACGAAATTTCAGGATGACCGGTTTCTTTGCCGGTTAGTATATTATTCCAAAATCAAAAACGTTGCCAGTTTTCGTGATTTGTTGTGGTGTGAAATAATTTAAGGTTATGTTTCATTTCATTTTCATTGACATTGACAGTTTCTTTCCATTTTTACTTTCCAAACGTAACCATAATGGCGAACGGTTGCTTTCATGTTTTCTCTACGATTCTTAACCCCTAGAGTATGAAAAATAGGTCTCCTGTTTCCGTCTATCTGTCTCTGTCGACTTTTATGAGACAGATAATCTCTGAAATTACGGGACCGATTTTTTGTCAAATTTTATATGTATGTTAGGAATATCGTGTAATTGGTAAAATGCTAACCAGAATTTTGTCTAATTTTGCCAATAATAATTTGGCTGAAATCTTTCCATAGCAATACTTGTGGGTTTATGAATCCGCCTTGTTTTTTACCCTACGCATCGCATGCTTCTTTACCTTTACTTGTAACAATCGCCATATACCTTTATTTTAATTTATAGGGGTTATAATAAAAAATAATAAAATTCGCAAATTTAAATTTTATAATTTTTCGTAGGTGTGAAACTAATTCGGAGGTGAGGAAAGTTCTGTCTAAATAACCTTGAATCAATTTTTAAACTTCAGATTCATAATCAGTGACAAGAAGGTCCCAAATTTTGTAGTGCCAATCTTAAAATTACTAAAATGTATAATCAGATTTTTAATTAACACGTGATGTATTTTTGATTTTGGAATACATTATCCAGATGTTCTGCCGACGAAACACATTTGCCGCAAATTGTTGAAAGAATGCTTTGACTCAGCTTGATATATATAACTCAATTATTAGAGCTAAAATTTCAAATATACAAATTTTTTGTTTGAAAGTTACATATAGTAAACACGGCTTGTAAATGTCCACTCCGGGTGGAGTTAGGTTGGTAAAGCAGGTCAAGGTCTTTCGACTCAATTGGTAATTAAATAACTCTTAGACTAGTTCTAGAGTAGAATTCTTTTAACTTTGGCAAGATGTTTTAAACTGTACGACACTGGTATGTTTCGTTATCAAATTTTTGAAGGGGATAAACAGATGAATTTTGAGCAGCGATTCACCATGCTTATGATAAACTTAAAATCTTTGCAATATTTCAGAGCATTCAGTTATGTAATTTCTAAGTTAAATTGTAAAAAATTGTTATACAATTTTTATTTGTCTCGCAAAAATCTAGACGTAAAAAATTAAAGCGAATTGGTAAACCGCAAATATAGAATCGCTGTTTTTTTAAATTTAAATAGCATTTACTTTGAACAATTATGAGATCAACTTTAACTTTTAAGTAATATCTTTATTGTTGGGCTGTGAATGGTTATGAATATTCTCGTTAACAATTACTAAAATTTACTAGTCGATTTAACATAATGAATTTTTAGGTAAAGTGGGTAAGGCAAAGGAGCGCGGTCACCTAGAAGTAAAAATTGGTTTTACTGTCAAATCTGGAAGTTTAACAGATTTAAGTAAAAAGGAGAAACACAAGTCTTCATTGTCTCACGTAGCTCAATCAGTGGGTGGTAGTTTATTAAGTCTTGGTAGTGCTGAAAAACGTAAAGGCATAAAAAAATTTGCCAAGTCGATCGGTTCAAAAATGCATCTAAGGAGTAAGAAGAAAGATGGCGATTTAGATGACGGTTCATCCATCGGTAGTGTGGGTAGTTTAAAACGTAATTTCGATAAAGTAAATAGTCGACAAACTAAAGAAGACGCTGATCCCGGGGTTGTTAGCGACGAAGATGAATTTACTGTAAGTTGTTTGTAGTGTTACTTTAGTAACATCATGTAACCAATTTAGATGAGTAAGTTATGTAAATTGTTTTATCATTTCTGAACTTATGTTGATTGCGTTGACGTCATTAATTACAGTTCGATGATTTGTCTCATAAAAGCTCCATAAGTTCATTGAATCAGCCAACTAATCATGGATTGAGTCATTCGTCTGTTGAGAACTTATCAGGTGATATTAACAAAACAAACTCGGTATCTCCTGCAAAACCGCCAAGGAGTGAATCCAAGCCTCAAGACGAATGGGAATCCAAACTTTTCGGCAAACAAAGCAATAAAGGTAAGTTACTCATATAAAATCTTTTAGATTTTATTTAACAGACACTGTAACAACTACGAATTTTTAATGGAAATTAGAATAATACAACTTTTCGACAACTTATACATATACATATATTCTGAAATGTTTCTTGTACAATATAATCCTGTTACGTTTTACGGGTGTTAAAAATCGGCGTGGTAAAACTTAACAATTTATTTCTCGGGACTACAAATTCATACGACGAACACAGCGATTATGTACAGACAAATTCCAACTCTAATTCTCTCATTGACTGAACTAGACTCCACTCCTCCCGACAGTGGTCTCTATTTGAACGGCTTCTTCTGGAAAGATCGCGAACATCGCTTTCGAGGTTGTTCTGGAGTCCAATATCGAAATAATTCCCGCGACTTCTGGCGGACTGCTTCCAGGATTTTCTTTATTCGAGCGCCGTCCTCACTGATGATGAGTTACCGCGCCATACATACTAGAAAACTCATAGGCGTCGTACCGGGGCGGCATATGGGTTACTTCGGGACAATACAGTTCATAAATAGGTCATATGCGGTGCCTCAGAAAGATCAGTATTCGAAAATTTATTGTTCATATTGAATGTATACTAATATTTACAGACACAGTACTTATGCCATTACTGAATGAGTAAGATATTGTTTGCTGAACAAAATATATATATATAGAACATGTGATAATACAACATCATTGAATTGTTTCTAGGTTTTCTTAAACCAAGTAGTAGCGAATCATTGAATAGAAGATCGTGGGATTCTTCAAAACTAGAATCACAGATTGACGAAGAACCTTCTGAAGTGACGGTCATTAAGGATGACATAAATGTAAAATTAACGAAATCGCCAGAGATTGTCAAGAAAGAGGAGAAAGAGAAAGATGGGATGTTTTCAAAATTGAAACATTTCAAAAAAGGTGTGTTGAATTGTTGCTTCTGATGGTGATTGCCTATTCTGTCTTATTATTTTAGATAAAAATGAATATGACACAAAACGTGAAAAAACATTCAGTAATTCAAATGAACGTATTATTATAGGAGGAGAAAAAGATGTAAATTATTCCTACAATAGCCATGTGTCCAACGAAATTTTACAAAAGTTTGAAGGCAAATCCCGTGAAGTATGTACTTTCGGTTAAATTAAATTGAGATTGTGAGATTAATACAAATTTTTAGGATTTGATTTTATTAATCTGCGACTTACAGAGCGACTTAGATTCACAGAAGAGGAAGTTGAAAGACTTGGAAGATTATTTAGATGACTTACTTTTAAGAGTAATGGAGACGACTCCCAGAATCCTTCAAAATCCTTATGTAACTTGTAAGTTTTCACATAAGCAACTAAGGTATGTTTACAGTCTTGTTTTCACGTTGTGTTTATTATTTATTTTTTCTAGTGGTTAATCATCAAATGGAAATAAGAAAACTAGGTGCCTAAAACCGGTGCTAATTTCTGTTTTTGTAAAAAGCTTTTTCATGAAAAATGCTGTGATTATTATTTATTTTTGAATACTGAGACAAATCTGTTGGAAACTTTGTAGTGACATCCGTCCAATGCGTTTATGTTCAAAGACCAAATATCTTCTTGTGTACATACGAATTTTGTCAGTTTTGTAGTCCATATTTTTACACGAATGTCTTCCTTTGACGTAATTAATTCTTTTTGTGAACATTTTATTTTATTTAACATACATATTAACGACTTTGTTCTGGTGTTTTGTAATTTATATTTTATATATAGAAGGGTCGAATAAATTAACAAAATACGAAGTTTTATTACAAAATATGGTTTCTCTCGTGTGCGTAACTCATACCTTAGAATGTTCCTTTAAGAAACAGAAGCAGTAGTAATCAAGTATGCATTTTTGAGCTATCACGTACTAAATTTTTCCTTTGGTAAAAGTGCAAACTGTGTTCTTTATTGTTAATGGAAAAATGGAGATAAGAAAATTTTTCTGAAAAAGTTTCTAGAATGTTTCTCTTACTGGATTATTAGTTATGACAGAGGACGTCAAGTATACAGATTCGTCGTACAGTTCAGTGAAAACGCATCTGCCCCAGAATTTGATGACCATGGTGAAACATACCCAGCATTTTCGAGTCTTTACACAATTTTGTGATGACGTCATCAACATTTTTGCAAAGACAGGTATATCAACTTAGATTGGTGCAGTGTAGTACTAAAAATAACAATATTGTATTCCGAAAGTTTTCTGGGAAAATGGAGTGAGCCGTTTCTGATTTAATCAGTAAAATAAATTGACTATTTTTTTTATTCAGTCACCTGTTTAACAAAATCTAAAAAATATGAATCCAGTGATAAACCACAAGCAAAAACTCATCATATTTTGCACACTTTGGGTAGAATTTATTCAGCAAAATTTTGAGATGACGTCATCAATTTTTTGGGGAGAATAAACATATATATTTTCATTAACAATTTACAATGCGTACATTAACTTTAATCATCACATCCTGTACAAGTAAATCCAAAAAATATGAATGCAATGATAGATTATGATCATTTTTTGCAAATTTTAAATAGAATTTATTTTTTCCAATGGTCCCCCCTTCTTCAAATTTCGGCCAAAATTTGACATTTTCGAAACTTAACTAAAAACGTTTTCTGGTAGATTTCGAGCTCTAGAACTCACTTCCGGCCTCGTTTGTTTAGTAACAGCAACTATTTTTCCAGAATCGACCGTTGAAATATCGAAATTTTTAGAAATTCTCAAAAATTCACATTTCATACCGATTCTTTCGAAAATGTTGCTCCGTGACCATCAACACATTATATTTTTAGAATCAGCATGTCGAGATCTACGTCCCGGAATTTTTTCGCAGTTTTTAGACAACTTTTTTAAATGTGAAATTTTTCCAATGGTCCCCCCTTCTTCAAATTTGGGCCAATTTTTAATATATTCGAAACTTAACTAAATACATTTTCGTGTAGATTTCGAGCTCTAGAACTAGCTTCGGGCCTCATTTCTTTGATAACTGCAACCGTTTTTCCGGAATCGACCGTTGAAATATCGAAATTCTCAAAAATTCGCATTTCGTATCGATTCTTTCGAAAATGTTGCTCCTTGACCATCGACACCCTATATTTTTGTAATCAGCGTGTCGAGATCTACGTCCCTGAATTTTTTCAGAATTTTTAGACGACATTTTAAAACTGAAATTCTTCCAAAAAAGGGGGGGACTTCTTCAAATTTCGGCAAAATTTTGACATTTTCGAAACTTAACTAAATGCATTATCTTGTAGATTTCGAACTCAGGGGCCGCTGGTGCCGGGGGGGCGCAAGGGCACGTGCCCCCCCCCCCCCCCCCAAATTACAACGTCTACAAACAGACTGGACATAGCAAAATAGTGAAAAGTCTTGTTTAAATAACTTTAGACCAATTTTTTATTTGAAAGAAAGTTTTCATTCATGGTTATAAAATTACACGTTGATAAAGTTTTTGTTTGTAATACTGCGACTTCTGTTGTAACAAATTACGATATGTATGTATACTTTCGTAGAATGACATGACATTGCTTCAACTAAGATCTTTATTCAGACTTAGGTATTCACAACGATTAGTTAGAATTTCAAAGATAATAAAATATCCACGACTATCACATTGCAGAATTATTTAACGCACTACTATTTTCATTAACGTTCGAGTAAAGCAAACAGTCGTACGTGTGAAGTATCGGTCTTGAAAAAAAAAATGGAAAATCTAGATGCGATTGAAGTGCTTCCAGAAGTGGAAGAGGTTCGCGTGCCTAACATTGTTTGCGTTCGTACGGTGGCGTCAGTCAGACCTTCTACTAAGTGGAAAAAAACAAAAAGGTGTATTTACAATCGCGAAACGAAGGCAATTTTCGGAAGAACGTGCGCAGACTGGGGCCGGCTGGGACTGTTCTATTTGGTATTTAATGCTCTATTGGCTGCAGTCTTTGCAATTGGTATAAAAGTCCTGCTTTCCACGATGGACACGAACGCACCTAAATGGAAACTCGAAGAAAGCTTGATTGGTACAAACCCTGGGCTTGGTTTTCGTCCTTTTTCGCTAGAAGATGGTGCTTTGATACAATACAGTTTACAAAATACGTCGACGGCCGAAAAATGGGTGAAGCTCCTCGATACATTTTTGGAACCTTATGAAAATTACACTGATAGAGATAACATTCAAAACTGTACTTTCAAAATAAGGCCTAAACGTAATCACGTTTGTATGGTTGATCTAAAGAAGTTTGGACCATGTCAAGCACAATATAAATACGGATATGGTAGTTCATCACCGTGTATTTTCATAAAATTAAACCGAATTTTTAAATGGGTACCTAGATTTTATAAGGAAGGTAAGAGTGATATGCCTCGGGATTTAAGATTTAATATTAAAAAATTATCACTGAAAAAGAGGAAGCAGATTTGGATTAGCTGCAGAGGCGAAGACCCGATAGATAACGAAAATTTGCAAGGTTTCCAATACTATCCAAGTAGAGGTCTTCCAGGTTACTTCTATCCCTATTTGAATGTCAAAAATTATCTAAGTCCCCTGGTAGCTGTCCGAGTCATGAAACCAAGACAAAATGTTCTTATAAACATCGAATGTCGTGCCTGGGCTAGAAATATTTACTATAAGAGATCTAAGCAGGATCGTCAAGGATCAGTACACTTCGAAATCTTAATTCGCAACAACTAGGACAGGTTTTACTTGTTAAGCTCGTTTATGTATAAAAGACTATCTAAATCATTTTTGTTTATGTATTTAGTTATGTATAGAATTTTTAATAAATTGTCACTATATAACTGTTACGTAAATCTAAACAGTGCCACATAATCAACTTTTTACAGGTAAGTACTTTCTGCATCACTAACATTAAAGTGTATTATATATCTCGAAAACTATTTCTAATAGTATCTATGTTTCAAGTGAAATTTAAAACATTAATAAATATAACATAATCTGCAACAGACGCACCCCATCTTTAATACTTTTATGTGTCAAACGCTAGAAAGGTAAGCGGGTCGATTTCATGAATGTCTAACTTCACATTTTCTTAGCGTTTCGTAGCTCGTGGAATGAGAAAATAGTGGCTTCTCATTTCGACGCGTTGTTAATCTTTCTGATTTTAATTAAAGAGATTATTTTCAGAACTATCAAATAGATGACTTTAATGAAAATTATAAAAAAGAATATCTAACGGTGACAAAATTCTAACCAAAATTTGTTTTTCATCTCCTTCGAAATTTTCCTTTAGTTATACAACATAACATTAAGATGACCAACTTTTGAAAATTAAAAACCAGGACATACTCAAAACCTAGCCAAATTATCAAAGTACTAATAATAATAATCTTTATTATTCCCGCCTTGTTCTGGGTGTTGTGTATGTCCCCCGTTCCCCTTGGGCCAATAAGACCGATTTTGGCAAATGACATACACAGATTGTTACAAATTTTTCAAAAAAAAAACTGAGTCCCAAAATTAACTCATAAACAGGTCAGGTAAGAGTCTCATCTTAGCAAGTACACGCCCGACCGACCCATCCTCTCTTTTCTTAGAGAGTATTTGATATGCCAAAATCAGTTCTATCTTTGCAGGTAGTCAGCCCCGCCCACCCACCCTCTCTTTCCTTAGAAGGTATGTCATTTGCCAAAATCCGTTCTGTCTTAGTAGGTACAGTACATTTTCAGAAATTGTGGTCCATCTTTAATAAATTTTAGAATAAACTGAATTAGTTTTTCCCGTGTTTTGATTGTTCTAAATATGACTTAAAAAGAACGCATTTTATAGCATAAAATATGTTCATGCACGTCTGATTCATAGAACCTTTATTCCGTGCAGGCAAGCAGTCGGAGAGCATAAGGGCTGTACATTTTTATTAACTTATCTTATTATAATGAATGTAGAGAATGTAATTGATTAAAAACAATAAAAAAAACAAAAATAATAAATTTGTAAATGAGTTTATCGCCTTAGAACAGAACTAAAATTATTAAGCCTCAATCGAACAAAATATTCTGATTATTATTATTATTATTTTATCATTATGTTATTATTATGAAGGTGTGCTATTCTCGCGTTTTCGAGAAACTGGGGTGATTCGTTCTTAATTCGATGAATAAAAAATGAGAATGATTAATTTTATTAAATGAAATAACAAGGTATGCCGCTCGGACGGAAGCGGGAGATTTATTTTTTACTTTAGGGGTCATGACCCATTCAGAAGATATGAAAGCAGCCAGTCGCCCGATGGACTCGATTACAATACTTCTCTAGCGAGATGTTAGTCTGCAGTCTACAGCTTCCCAACGGGTTGTCTAGCCAGGCGCGGATATAGGATTTCGTTCAGGGGGGGGGGGGGGGCAATTTTTGTGCAATGTTACCTATCTGCCAGAAATTCGTTCTAAACAAAATAATTTATAAAATTTTAGCTAGTATACTCTTTTTCACATAACATGAGTGACATTTGGTTCTTTTCGTTACACGTATAGTGTACAGTAGAACCTCGATAATCCTAATTAATTGGGAAAAAGGTGTGTTCGGATTAACGATTTGTTCGGATCAGCAATTTTCCCAAAAATCTGAAAGGGAATTGAATAACAACTTCATACACAACTGAAAACAAACTTCAAGAAATAAACCTAAATTTTATTAAAGAAAAATTAAAGAATTCTTAAGCAACAATGGATAATAATAGATACATTCTAAAAAAATATTATTCCGTGACCATAAACACGCTATCTTTTGGAATAAACACCCCGGGATCTATACCCTGAAATTTTTCAGAATTTTTAGATGAATTTTTCAAAAATGAAATTTTCCATTATGTATTCGTATTACCTCCATTATGCAAGTTTCGACCCATTCTCGATGATTTTCGAAATTTAACTAAATATTTTCTTATAGATTTTGGACCTCAGAAGTCACTTCTGGCTTTATTTCTTCGATAATTTAAACCATTTTTCCAGAATCGTTGAAATATCGCAATTTTTAAAAACTTCGAAAAATTCGAATTTCACAGCGAATTTTCCGAAAATATTGCTCCGTTACCATAAACATGGTATATTTTTGGAATCAGCACGTCGGGATATATATCTCTGAATTTTTTCAGAATTTTTAGGAAATTTTTTCGAAAATGAAATTTTTCTCATGCAAATTTCGACCCATTTTTGACGATTTTCGAAATTTAACCAAATACTTTCTCTTGTAGATTTTGGGTCTCCGATAACTTCATCCGTTTTTCCAGAATTAGTTAATTAATTCAGTGCTTTGAAATATCGCAATTTTTAAAAATTTCAAAATATTCCATACAACATATGCAGAAAGATCTTGCGTCGTTTTTGGAAGTAGATGCATGTTTTCAAGTTCAGATCGGATTACAGAGTTTTTCGGATTAAAGAGGCATCGACTTCAAATAGCCTCTGTTCGGATTACTGGATGTTGAGACAATCGTGAGTTCGGATTATAGAGGTTGTACTGTATTTACAAAATGAAATATAATTTCAAAATTTTGAAATTGGTCAAAATAAAGTACCTCGGTCGTGTGTCGGGGGGGGGGGGGGGGGGGGGGGCAATGGCCTTCGGTGTAATTAATCACTTTGCAAACTCTTTAGCTTACGCTCAGGAAGCAACAAATTGGGAAAATTCAGTCAAGCTGAAATGCTCGTCAGTTATGTATATTGAAAATATGCAGATATAATATGATTAGACAGTGTATATCACAGGTCAAACTAGTTTCATCCGAGATGTACATTACATTGTCAGGTGTCAGAAGTAGGAATGGATTAGACTCCGATTTTATTGTCTTCCCCCAAGTTTGATCAAACATATTTGACAGTGTGATATCAGGATAACATTTTAAGATTAATTATATTTGTCGTTATCTTTGCCAGCAATCCAGTCCTCAATCTCTTTAATTCTAAAAAAATAATTCATTAAATAACAATTTAAAACCGTTATAAAGAAACTAACGTTCTTGGAACTTTTGTCAAATTAACTACGCCTTCCGTTGTTATAAGCACATCGTCTTCAATTCTAACACCTCCAGTACCGCGGAATCTCTCAATAACATCCGGTACCAAAAACTTTGACAATTCCGGATCTTCCAAGGCCTCATCCAACAACTAAAATGCGAGTACTGTTTCTGCTGTTTGAAATAAAACTTTACTTACAATGTCGATAAAATAACATCCTGGCTCAATGGTTAATATCATGCCTTCGCCTAGAATTCTATTGGTTCTTAACTTTTCCAGTCCTCGTGGTGCTTGTAGTCTTACAGGTTGCCCACTTATGTAGCCACCTACATCGTGGACATCTAAACCCAATAGATGTCCCAATCCATGCGGTTGGAAAATGGCACCCATACCAGCCTTAATCATAGCATCAACATCACCTTTCAAGAGTCCGCCTTTTTTCAACTCCTCAACTAGGGTTCGATTTGCCAACAGGTGCATATCTCCCCAACTAACTCCTGGTTTCGCTGCCCTGAAAACCGCCAAATTTGATGTCAAAACTGCTTCGTAAATCAGTTTTTGATCCGGAGTAAACTTTCCAGATACAGGAAAAGTGCAAGTGATATCCGCAGCGTAACCAAAGTAATTAGCACCCATATCAAAAAGACTGGAAGATATACACATTAGGTGGTGCCACAATAAAAGTATTAGTGTCATGTACCATAATTCTCCGTCATTTATGAAGCGATCATTAGGTACGGCTGCATGTCCGTAGTGCAAAGTCGCTGCGTTAGTATGAGAAGCACAAATACATGTATACGAAACAAATCTGCAACCTCCAACTGAATAACAATGATGAAGAAACTCGGATTCACACTGATATTCGCTTTTTCCGGGCTGGGCAAATCGCATCACTTTGCGGTGAGCAGCAGACGACACTTCCACGACGTACTTCATAACAGCAATCTCGAAGCGTGTTTTAAAAACACGTCTAAAAACAAAAAAATCTTACAGTATTTCTCCTCTCTTTTTTTATGCGATTCATCAACTTTTTGATGAAGCTTAATTTTAATGTCTACAGTATAACACTAATCGAAACGTTACTGCATTCTAGAATCTTAACCACCTAGAAAATCTAGTGACTCAACCTATTCAATACTTACACGAAGTTGGTGCCGAAATCTTTGACGAAAAGCGACAACGATTTCACATAGATTTTTATTGAGTGGACAAAGAAAAGTATTTTTGTTAACATATGAAAAATGCATAATTATACAAAATAAATACGTATACCTTACGTCATATTCGTAATTAGTAATGCAACAAATGTGCAAAACAGTTTTAAAACAAAAACAGGTCTTTAACATTTAAATATTGCAGGCTTGTGTTATTATAAAATCATATGCAGAGTAACATTATCAAAGTACAATTTTGTTAATACAGTTTTGTCATGACGTCATAATACATTTTGGGAACAAATACTTCCACAAGTAAATTTTGGTACGTACATTGTAACAACACTATATTCTTGAAATTTCAGGAAAGTTAGATCAGGTGTTTTTGTTTTATTCATAAAATTTTTGGCTACCTTCTAACGTAGTTCCAAAAAAAAATGTATTACCAAAACACACACAACATTAGACCTGGGAATATATTTTTAAAAACACATTTATCCAATAATTTTTTGAGATGATGTCATCATTTCTTAAAGGGACACTAGACACAATTCCTAGATTAAACGCAGTGTCATTAAAAAATGTTAAAGGAATTGCTAAGTGAAATCGTATCATTACTTACAAACTTTGTTTGTTTAAATTGGATAACTCGTATGCGTATGAAAATATGACTGCATTATCAAGCCACAGCCAAAGGAGTATGTCACAATACAAATTTCAAACAAGATTTGTTTAGCAGTATTCTGGGATGACGTCATCAAATTTTTGGCAAGAATGAATAAATAACTTTTTATTAGCGTTTTACTACCTGCAGGATTTCTTAAAGTATGTCTAAAACTCCACAGAATTCAGTGCAGTAACTACAGAGAGTATCTTGAGAGGTACGCCAGACATACATAAACGGTACATCAACATTTTGATTTTTTACAAGCTGTGAAATGGCGAACAACATTAAATTGATTGTTAGTTAAATGTACCCTCGGGAAACTAAAAGTAGTTACGAAAGTTAAACCTCTTGACCTTTGGTTCTAGTCGAATTAAAACTAAAATAGTAGAAACTCCAGGAGTTGTTCTTATTGTTTTGGAAGATCTATATATTTTTTTCAGCTGCCTGAAAACGGCGCTACATTCAGTCCTACACTTCAAAAATGATAAAAATACATAAATCAATCTTTTCTTTCAGTGTTATTTAGAGAAAATCTAAACACAAATATCTCTGCAATGCGTTTACGAGACTGAAAATGAAAAAAAAAAGTAATTTTTATATATTCGTTGTATATATTTTTAAAATTTTAATCGACACACGAAAATGTCACGTTTATAAACATTATGATAACTCGTGAACGTATGGCAAATATACAGTTAATGTGAGCACAGCGAGTTACTAGTACGGGGCCATCTATAGTTATAGTAGCTTGCATAGATATAGTAGCCGTACATAGAGTCGAAATTTGAGAAAATAAAAATAACATAAAACCGGTTCAAACGGAATATTAAATGTCATCTTTTCCGTTATAATATAATCTTTTTAATTTCTGAGCTCAATCTCGTCAGTAAAAACGAAGCTCTGTTCACTGTACACAAGTTGTGGTATGGTATATTCATCGTTGCGGAGGTAGGTGGAGCGAAAAACCTAGTCATCTTAGCAGCAAACACGGCTATAAATTAGTCCACGTGGACTGTTTGTTTCCTGTCATATTTTAGTTTGCGTGAACCAATTGTATTGCACCAAACGGTTATTATACTCGTGGAAATGCATTTGCAAACTTCCATCTTTCTCTAGATCGTCGGTTTCGTAGCTGTGTGACAAATCGTTTGTCGTTGATACAAAATAGTAAGATTACAGTGACCGTAAGATTTTGTGCAAACGGCCTTAAATACACCCCTGTGCGACGCGACGCATGCCACAGTGACAGAACTTACAAGCCATCGTCGGCTCCGTTTGAGCCGGTTTTATTTTATTTTTATTCGCAAATTGCGACTCTATGGACGGCTACTATATCTATGCAAGCTACTATACAATACGTTACATGCATACAGAGATGTGACATGTTATTGTTCAATAAACTCCTGTACCTCAGTGTACGAGGGCCGATCTAAAAGTTTTGAGAACAGGGTAAACGAAGGGTGAAGGACTTGACCGTTTCGACGAGATTATTAAAGTACCATTAGTGGTGTCTACCATACAATAATTTCAGTTACTTCCTGCTGCCCGTTCAGTCTTTAACAAGGATGCGCATTTGTCGGTGCAAAGGTCGAAATGTATCATCAGGCGACTGAAATGACCATCCTTTCAACTTTTCCTTAGTTTGAATTCTCCATACCAAGAGTCACTGTTGCTTTAGCAGGCCTTTCATCGCCATATGTCCCTCTTAATTTTTTCAAAGCAGTGATATTCTTTTACTCCAACCTTAAAGTCATAGAAGACCATTGTCTGCAAAAGTTCTTTGCTCAATTGCAGTGCACCAACTAATCCACGTTCCTGTTAAAGACTAACGGGTAACAGGAGGTAATTGAAATTATGGTATGATGGACACTATTAGTGGTACTATAATCTCATCCAAACGGTCGAGTCCCCTCACTTCTCGTTTACCCTATTCTCAAAACTTTTTAAACGACCCTCGTATATGCCTAGGAACTGGAAACTTTGCTTTTAGATAATCATTCATTCAAACAACTTAATATGAAGGTTCTAATTCAACTAGAACAAGGTTAGGGGTGGAGCATATGGATCGATTTCACGTCGATTGACTTACAGGTCCGCTATTTCATTGAATAGCAAAGTATTATCCACTACAAACCTGAAAACGACTATTTAATAATCAATGAATTTATTTTAAAAATAAACTTACTTCTCAATACCATCAAATGTAGCCTCTTTTGCCGTTAACCCACTATCAGAATTAACCCCATTCTAAAAATATAAATACATATGTGACACTCGATGACTGAGATAACTTACCAATGTGAGCAGTACTGTGGGATTTAATTTCTCAAGAACCGATGCAATCTAAAATGTTTAAGTGTTAGATATTTCGTACACCTCAAGTAAACCAAACAAATAAACACATATGCATACCTCATCACTGTAATGTACATGCGGAATGTTATACTTTTTGCCAAAGTATTCAAGTGAATGCAACGGTCCCATCCATATGGCATAGCTTGGAGGAAAACGTGGTACAAAAAGATGGGTTTCGCCCGTGTTGACTTCAATCGCACCAAAGCATCCAGGTTCAATAGCTCCAAAAGCCCACATAAAATACGACTCCTACAGATTTTTTTTTTTTTAGTATAATGAAAGGGAATGGCTTAGTAAATGTTGTATAGAGAAACTAAAATTCTGTTAAATGTTAGACTGTGCACAGTTTTGAAAACAAAACCAAATCGTACAATATTCCAAACTACTTTTGGATTTGTTCATTCACATTTGATTTAAGTTTATTATGACATCTAAATAACACAAGATACATATGTGAGTTTGATGATATATGTTTTTTAGATTTCATTTTCGGCAACAGGTATTTTGAGTTTTAACCTATGTTGTATATAAATCTGCTAATACAATTACATGTTTCTCTTATACATACATATTTTTTAACTTATATATCGTAGATCAGTACCAAATCAATAGTAGGGTCCGTTATGCATTTACCACTATCCAACGTTCGATAACGAAAAATTTCAAAGAATTGTTTTTCCTTGTACTGTGGGTATTGTTGGTGATTTAAAAGCGACGGTACGGTTTTCAAATTTTATTTCGTTCCTTATACTATTCGAGAGTGCCAGGGAGAAGAAGGAAGGGTGTTTTAAAATGGTATACAGGTAGGCTCGGTCTCGAAGAGGTGGAAGTAGGTAAAGAAAGAGTTTAGAAAATTCTAGAAGCAAGAAGAGAAAGTATGTAGGAGCGTAGGGCAGGTAGACGAAAGATAGGAAGTATTTACATTTTTACAAAGATTAGGAATGGGCTCAGGTAGAACACCTGATTTTGTGGGAACGGTTGTTCCTACAGTACTTTTAAAAATTTCTTTTGCTGATATTCACAATGAAATAGTTTCTTCTTTCTACTATTGTAAATGTTTTAATAATCTAATTTAAATATTAATTGCATGTAAAATAAAATAATTATAATCGATGACTGGAAAACAACACTGAACTTTATTTTATGTCAATTTTATAACAGCCAAGTAAGACACAAAAATATGTAACTATGTATGTTTTTAAGATAAATAATAATATTCTTCGTTGCATTTATATGTTGTAACAATTGATGATATAATTTAATTATTCTGCGCTTTGTGACAACTATATATCTGAAAATATCGACGATAATATCACTTATATATGTAATATATAAAATCAAACTATATTTCAAACCAATTCCTATAGGTACAGCTCATCTAAATTAACCTTAAAATTTAAAATCATATCTTACGTTGACGATGGTGTCGAACATTGGAGAATTACAACGTTATATTACACGAAATGATTACAGGGGTACTTACCCTGTAATCAGTTAAGTTAAGTATAGTATTTTTTGCCTTGTTCTTAGCGGTATCTTTTCAAGATATTTAGTTTTATACACAAATTTTGGCAACCGAGATGTATACTAGCAAGTTCTTAGCAATTCAGGTACTAAATATAATTTAGTTTAATTATATAATAGTCTCACATTCCGAAAAGAAAACGAAATGGATCAGTTCAATATTGTGACAACTGTATTGGGCTTTATGTTTGTTTATTAGACTAATTCTGGCATTTTTTATTGTTGTTCAATAGTATGACAAAAATATAAACGCTCCTAAGAGTATAACCAATGGTCTGTTTGAAAAATGTTTTTAAATTTTTAATTCGATATATATTTTTTAAGGACAAATCTGTTAAATTTCCAATAATCTCTCTAATATTTTTGTTCTAGTATAATACATAAGCTGCCTATGTTTTGCACACATCAAAACAAATTTAGAAACGGGTATTATAATCATTGTTGCTTTTATAATAATTTATTAAAACGCAAAAGTTTGATATAAAATATAGTTCGTTACAAGACATGTATTTCCTGTGTTAACGAAAAGTAAAGCAAAGAACTATATGAAGTGTAATATAAAATTTTAACAATAAAATAGAGTAGGCATGACCTCATAATCTAGTTCATGTAATTAACGGAACAAAATGCATATTGAAAAAACCTGTATGCAAGGTCAATTCTCATATACACTCACTTGCCGAAAAACGTTGTAGGTGGTGTCTGTATCATAGAAAGGAACTTCATCGCCTCCTTGAAGAACAACAATAGCGTTTCCAGACGATTTTGGACGTAGACGTTCTACTAGTCGACGTCGATTCAGAGCAAATAGTTCCAAAGGTATTTCCAAGGTTCCTGGACCCATCCATAGTTTATCACTATAAATAACAATAATTCTTAGTCAGCAGAGCATTTCACACACAATTTTATTACGGAGTAATTGAAAACCAAATAGTTTAAGACATAGTACAGTGTGGAAAATTAAACCAATAAAAACCAAAAATCAGGATCAGTACTCCTGCCTTTTTCTGATCGAAACAATGCAGGTTTTCTCCAATTTTTGCATTCTATAGTCGAAATTAATAACAACTTCAAACGTAAAAATAACTATTTTTGACTTATCAAAAATGTACGTATACGATTCACGGTAAATTTCTTTACCCAGTGGTTAACGAAATGACGTCAGCGTATTTTCAACCTGCAACATACACTTTACCACCAATCTGATAAGCCGTAATTATCTCCAAAACATGATTTGAGTTATCTAAGTATTTTTAGGGAAAATTAAAAAATATCCTCTGCTTGTAACTTGTTCATACTAGTAATCGCTTGTTTTTTTGTCTTGACAAATTTTCTCTCAGTAATAACAGTTTCATTAATTTTATACGAAACCGATTTTTTTGAACTTTTAAAATCTGCTGAAATAGTATATTATTAACCATGGTTGTAAAGCGACGCATTCTAGACCGAGCGCAAATTAGAACCCGAGGTAAAGCGAAAGGTCTAGAAGTGGCTTCACAACCGTAGTTAATATACTATTTTTTCACTAGTAGAAACCGTAAGACAATAAATTGAAAAAATAAACCTTCAATTTTTTGACGCAAAATGATTTTGTTTTGATTTCTAATCAAACTTAACCCGTGCGAAGCCAGAACAACACAGTTCCTTAGAATACTTTTCTGTTTGACAGTAAAAGCTGCGCCACTACCTTATTCAACAGTTTTAAGGAAAATATAATTAGTTTTGTTCTAATAAATTTCTTTATTAAATTTTGTAATTTTTGTACCCAACAGTGATTTGCAATTCCATGAATGTATTTTTGAATATATCTTTGTGACGTTCACTTTCATATCTTTCGCACTTTTTTCAAAACTGTCAATTTGTTTATGAGTGGTCACTTATCTCAATTTTACTATACGTATCTCATGATGGTCCTAACAAAGCGATTCTTCTATGACTTATTATTATAGTAACTACGTAAAAAATGATTTAGATTTTAATGCTCTATTTGTTGTTGTTTTTTTTAATAAAAAAATTCAATCGTATAGAACAAGATCTGCGGGACTACTGTCTTCAAACATTTTTCGATATTTTAGTTTGTGAAGTGAATGCCAAAATTTATCAGCGTCCACTGATCCAGAAGTATGCCTATCCACTCTTTAGAAGAAATATGGCGTGCTTTTTCTACGGTACTTTGCCTTTTTCACACTGGTTGTCAAATTTATTTCAAACTTCTTTTAAATGTCTCTCGGTTCTACTTTGTGTCCACAATTACTATCTGGACGAAATACTGGAGGCATTATGTTGAGTGATGCGAATATTTGTAAAAACTTGATGACATCAAAATTGCGATCAATTTTTAACAGAATTTCGTTCAAAGTTATAACTGGGTAAAAAAGTTGCCGTTTAAGCCAAAGTGTTTCTCTTTTATAACTTTTGAATTAAAAATTTAAAACCACTATGAATATTCACTAGCATGTTTTTCAAATGGATTCTGTTCTTTTATTTTCGATAACACAACGACAGTTTAAACCTAAATATGCAAATATATTTTGAGAACTTCATGAAATCTGTAAAGCTACTTAGTTCTCTCGGCTCTGAATTACAATAAATAATAAACTTTCAAAGGCTTGTTAATAATAATATTTTAAGATTCCGCTTTGTGTAATAAATATAATCATTTTTATGTATACAATGTAATATTAATTCTACTGTGATTATGCTTTTTGAATTTCAAGAAAATTAAATTAATCATTTCTCCATAAAACAAATCGATTCAACGAGAAACAAAAATTTGTCACCGACGCACAAGAAATATCCTTCAAAGCGTTTTATTCATAAAGTTTTATCAGAAGACGCTATCCGCTTTCTGCAGGGGCAAAACAAATCTATTTTAGTTAGTGGGTTATTTATTATTAGTTAACATGTTATTCCTTTACCAATATTAATACCATACCAAATTTAGGAGACGTGCGTATGTTGTTTTCAAGTAAATTCTAAAATTTGTTTCTATAAAATGTATTGTCCAAATAATCCAAAGTTAAAAAAATTGGTCTAAAGTTATTCCGACAGAATTTCCCTAGCTTTTAAAATACAGGCGAACAAATACAGATTCTTCGAAAAATTATAAAAGTAGACTAAATAACTCCTTAAAATAAAGACTCAACTCCCTCAACAAAATTTTGCGATCACGTCATCAACATTTTATCAAGGATGCATATATCAATTTGATAGATGCAGTGTAATACTAGACTAATAATAACAGTACTGTATATTCAAATTTTCCGAAAAATGTGTAAGCAGTTCTTGATTTGATCAATAAAACAGATTGCCTCATTAATTTTTTTGAGTCACTCTGTATAAGTAATTCTAAAAAAAATTGAATAACGATTTACCATGATTACGATAACCCTGGAACTTTTGCAAGATTTCAGAGCATTCAATTTTGCAGTTTCAAAGTCAAATTGCAAAATGTTGATATACAATCTTGATTTCTTTTTCCAAAAGCTGGACCTCTAGAGTGAAAACTCGACACCGATTCATAAACCACGAGGGCAGGAATATCTTATTTTGTAAAATTAAAAACAAATTTACTATTGTGGGGACAACTAGCCAAATTTTGGTTAGCGTTTTACCATGTACATGATATTCATAATACGCATATACAATTTGACAAAAATCGGTCCGGTAGTCTACACAACCAGACGGACAGAGAGACCAACGTAAACGGGAAACCACACTTTTTTCGTACTCTAGGGGTTACGAAACGTTGAGAAAACATGAAAGTGGCAAGTTGCCCAATGAACTCCATTATTATACTTCCTTAGCTTACGATCAGGCAGTAAAAATATGACTGTATTGATAAACCACAAGTATAAATTCATAATATTTTAAGATAGGATTTATTCACCAACAATAGAATGAAGTCATCTCCAAAATTTACTATTGCATGTGTGTTTTATGAAGCCGTGTTGAGTTTTTACCATAGGTATCCTATTTTTTTTACTCCCGAAGGTGGTTTTTATTTAAACCCATGCGTTCCTTTCTAGATATTTTGCAATCGAGATTTTTTTGGAGGACCCATCGCGACTTCCGCTTCTAGACTTTTCTTTGACATTTCTATGAGTCGTCGGATCGGTGCACATCGTAGAAAACCCATAGGCGTCGTATGGGTTTATTTCGTAACAATATTATCCTGAGATGAAATTGCTTTTGCTTCACAAATATGAAATATTGTTTAAAAATGGTTATACAGGTGACTCACCAGAATAATGAATGGAGTGATATATGTTATCGATTAATTTAGAAATGGTTCTAATTGTTTCGAAATTCTATAAATACTTTTACGATAATCCATGCGCGTAAGGTTAAAAATAATGATGGATTATTATTAAACCACATCTAGAGGACAATATCGCGCTACTCATTTGTAGTGAAATTAATTAATAAATTTTAAGAAGTAGTCATTGATTTTTTGTAAGGGGAAAAACGACAAATTTTGTATACCGTTGTTGTTTCCAACTTGAAGTTAACATCTAAATCACAACGAAGGATGACATTGAAAATAAGTTGGTATAATCAAAAAACTAGGGTAAGCCTAACCCAGCCTCTGCTTTTTGCAGTACCTACAGATTAGATATTAAGCAGGTAAGTATTTGTGTTTAATAATTAGCATTATGAAAGAAAATTATTAAACTCCAGTCCAAATTTAAGATACTGTAATTTCTTACGTCACACTAAATAAGTAGTATCTGTAAAATATACTGAGGATGTATTTATTTAATTAACATTTACAATTTTTATAATTAGCAAGTAGGGTTCTTACTAAGTATTCCTTATTTAACCGAACAGTTATTAATTTAAGTAAGTAGCTATTATTTCACCAAGCATATATTATTCTAACTAAGAATTTATTTTTTAACTGAGCATTTATTATATAACTTAGCATTTATCATTTTTACCGAGCAAAAATACAGAGCGTTTAAAAATAGAACTGTGCATTTAATTCATTAACCATTCTAACGACAATCGTAACATGTTTGCAAAATTTATTAAAAAAACTGAAGTTGAATGAAATAAAGTACTGCCACTTTATTTTCCAAAAATTAGTAAAATCTGTTTCACAAAAGGGTCATTTAAACGTATCATTATAATCGTAATCTAAAGGTCTATCAAAACCCGTTTGAAAAAAACACACTTTGGAATTTTAAAAATATTTGTATCGCGGAGCTGAGGCTACAGCTAAAACCAATGGCGTTTACAGAATTTCAAATTTCTATCCATAGATTTCGAACTTTTGTCTGGGAAACGTGCATACCAACTTTTTCGTGGCCACTGATACAGCACGAAATTTCCGGGAACGGTTTCAAAGTCAGAACTTTAAAACCGAGACAACAGACGAATTAGTGTTCCTTGACTAAATTGCTGTCCCATCATGCATAAATCTGACGAGACGTCTAACAATTTCACCCATTGAATAAAAATATTTTTGACCGTTAAAAACCTAACGGAAGGTCTGCAGCAAAATAGGTATGTCTCGTAAGTTGGTTACGTTCCTTTTTTTATATGCTATAGTTCTTTGTGGAATATTTAGCAACAGATAGTTAAAGTAATAAATCACTACAATGCTGCAATATATTCTGGTGTTAAATAAATATGTTTATATACTTTTAGTTTGAGTCAGCGAACTGAATGACGTTGCAAACAAGGAAGACGAAACAGGTGGATGAACTTCCTTCGTCTCCCACTACATTCCACAATCACGACGGTTCTAGAAAGCGATCTCGGTGGCTACCACATAAAATATGTTAGCGAATATCTTGAATATTTTATTACGTTCGCAACGAGAACAAGTGAAAATGGAAAAATTCGCCAGGTC